AAAACTGGTCACCCAGCAGGAAGTGGTTAACTATTAGTATACAAACTGATCCTCAAACTGATTTCCACTCTCAAAGCAATGAAACCATTTCATGGATGGTGGAATTCAGTGTGACTTTGTGATGGCAGTTTAGTCTGGAACTTCATCAGAAAAGAAATGTTTTCAACCATCCCCCCTCCCCAAAGGACGAAATCCAGAGAATCTTTTCAACAATGGTAGACGAGGATTGTGCAAGTAACTAACATTGCTTCCAATGTTTCCTTGCAGCATTTGGACAGCTTCCCTTTAGGGTGCTATGTAGATCCTGTGCTGATTGCTGATGATCTTCAACAGACGTACAGGCAAGTCACATCTTTGTCATCTTTTTTACTGTTGTGCGGCCTGATCAATCAAGTGTGGTGCAATTGGTCAATTTCTTTTCACATCAATCTGTTGATACTCCCACCATCAGGTGACCTCCCTTTCTTTCCAATTCAGAGTCAAAGATGATTGTTTTGAAACAAGGAAAATGAAATGTGAAATTTCTCACAGGATTGACTGAAGGCACATATCAACTGATTACATCCAACACTGTTAACAAGAATTAGAAGGCAAGAATTACTTGGCCATCAAGTTTGAGTGAATTCACAGCCAGTTACTACAAACTCCAATACTGATATTTCCTATTAAGTAAGCTAAAGTTATTTTTTTTCTTGTGTTCAGGGAGTATGGGAGAAGGAAAAGACTTGCTTTCAGGAAGACAGTGCAGAGAGGTAATGTTTGTTAGTAACAGAAGGTGTGCTTGTCATGCTGTTGTTTATGCATGCATGAGCATACCCTTGCGACACCAAAGTTGCTGTTGCACCAGAGTATTGCTGCTGCAGTGCGACATTCAAAACTGAGAGTGTTCAGTGGTCAAATACTCAAATTATCTTCATTTGATTGTGTGCTGAACAAAAGTTGGTACAGTGCTTGCTACTGGCCTATTGTGCAATCACATTCTGGCGTACAAAGAGATCACACTGTTTGACAACACATCAGTTGTCCCAGTCAGACTGTGCACCAACCCCACTTTGCACCCATGCCATTCTCATTGCGGGGTTCACTCAACAGAGAACTGTGTTTATTGACGTTACTTTCAGGTTCTTATTTCTTTTCTAGTTTGTGACTGGGTTGCAAAGCAAAAGTCCAAGCAGTCAGGTCTAGACGTCATGGAACAAAGACATCTTTCAAAGAGGAGGAAACAGGACAAATGCAATGGGTGAGCTGAGTTTTTGGAATGACTTCTAAAGAAGTTATTCACCTTCATCTTTTCCAGCAGTTCTATTTCATAAAAAACTTGAAATAGATTATATTGTAATGTAATCATATGATCACTTATAGCTGGCAATACATAGAATATTGTAAAAAGCATGGTTGAAAGCACTTCACTTGTATTAATGCACTAGATGGACATGACCTGAGCTCGGTATAGAGTTTGTGAAAAATTTACACTACGTAACACTAGGAACTTATATTTTTCAGAGAAGGCAGTTTGAGCAGACAGGACAGGGAAGCATTGAATGATGGTAGCTCAGACAGTTTCTCTGACGACAGTGAGGATTATGTGGAATCTAAGGTAACCAAGAACCTTACTAGAGCTTGCATATTGTTGTAGGGGCTACTGATATTTAGACACGTGGCCATAAAACTGTTTGCGTAGAATGTACACATTCACCAAATATTGATGGACAAGGAGTTCTTTCATGACTTCTACTACTCACCGGGGCCCACAACTTTCAACAGACCATTTCACTAACTCGTACTCAGTGTGATGTTTGCTTTATGGTGGAGGCAGCAAAGTCAAACATGATAACCATCTCTGCTGTCTTTGGTACCTGTGGACTCCTGGGGAGGGAGAAGCAATTTGAGAGTGTCTTGCCCAGAAAAACAACCTCCACAACCCCACAGGCTGGACTCGAACCCACAGTCCACAGACTTATCCACATATCTAATATTTTCCTACACCATGAACTCATGGTGCTCTACCCCTTGAAAATAGTCTCGGCATATATTCACATTTTGAGAGGTAACTGGAAGATATGGTAGCACCGGAGGCACTGTGATTTTGAAGCCATGATATTTCTCCCAACTTCATAGGATACAAATATGGTGAACGCAGCCCTCAGCAAACTGTACAGCAAGGGCACACCGTCAGCCTCAAGTTCACCCAGCCCTGGCCTGAAGCCACAGACAAGTAATCTTGCAGGTAAGAAATCGGGTCAGTAAGGAATTATGTTGAGCATTGTGACTCAGTCAATCAAGGTAACTTTTATGTGCAGCTGAGGACGTCAGTCGTACAGTAGCCACAATTGGATCTCATAAGAGACCAAACCTGTGCCAGTTTTGACATTTATGACATTGCCAAACTCTAGGGAATTTTCATGGGCAGAGGTTGTTACCTTTCTTACTTTCATGGTGACTGAAAGAATTACCTCCTGTCGCAGGAGAATGTCGCTTCTTTTTTCTTTTCAGAGGCTCAGTTCTTGGAATAGTGGTAGTCTTTGGTAGACCATTCTGAGGTTTTCAAAACCATGATTTATCTTTTCTTTGTCAAAGGTGAACATTATTTTCCCGAAGCTTTCACAAAGTAGACACGTGATACATCAACAAAATTGCATCAGCCAAAAGCCAACTGTAAGACTTTGAATGCGCTACCTTTCGTTTGCTCATAATTTGATTGTAATTAACAGTCATTTTGTAATCCTAAAGCTGTGTAGATGTGCTGTATGAACTTTCAATTTACTCCCTCTGTGGTTGATAAAAGTCTGGAATAACATGTAACACTTGGCTAATTGCAGGAACCCCAGACACAACACCTGGCAGACCGCCGGGCAGACAGGGCAAGGCAGACTCAGATGGAGATAGTATGGAACTGGGAAACTTGTCAATGGATCATCTAGATGACGGAGAGGATGTTGACGATGCTCCATCAAGACGTGGAAGAGAGATGCTGCTGCCAAGGACCTTGGCTACAGTAAGACAATGGAAGATGAGTGTGCAAGGAGTGTGCTGAACTGATTGGAGATAATACGTACACAGAATACGTCACTGGTTGTTCATGTCTGTTGAATGTATCTACCCCATCAGTGCACCTATTTCATCTCTGTCGTCTGTGGTTATCTTCCATATATGTCAGGACGTGCTTACAGTTTTCAATCTCTCAGGTGTTTATCACATTTGTAAATTACAGGATTTTTATCTCATTTCTGCTCAAAAACATTGTGTCGTCCCTGAAACATTGATGGTATTATAGACATAGTAGGGTATTGTGTTTTTCATGACAACAATTTGGGCCATTTTTTGGTACATTATGATAAATCTTGATATGTCTCATTTGATGAATCGACTCCCTATCTCCCAGGAGGCCACTCCTATTCCTTCAGGGAGTTCCACTCCACAGACTGGCATGAAGAGACTTAAGGACAAGAAGAGGAAGTCCAGCAATCAGACGATGATGGAGGAGGAGTCGACAGCCAAGAAAGGGAGGATGGGGCAGGAGAGGGGGCGCAAAGCCAAGAAGAGTGAGAAATGGTTTTATGAGACCCTTGATTCCAGTCATGCCAAACATGTCCTTATCATCTTCAGACCTTACTATCTTGACCGACTCTGTCGAGTGTACATAGTTTGACAAATCTAGTGCCTCAGTCTGTCCTAGAAGGCGTGGATGAAAATTAAATTTTAGCTGGTAAATTTAATGGGAAGTTTTGTAACATTCCAAGAAAAATGTCAGTGGGCACCAGCTCCGAAAAAGTTAGACATTTTGGGTCAATAAATAGACTACTCAGAAAATAATAAAGGTTTCACAGATTTCCCTCAAACTACCGTAGTTGGGAATCATGCGTTTTGTTCTGTGCCATCTATTTGGCGGGAAATTACTGCAAACAAATTTTTCCCAAATCAGTTAAATGGATTGGTGTCCATGGTACACATAAACCCAGTTTTTTTTTTAAGAGGACATGTTGAAAAACTTCAAAGTGCTCCAAAAGGCTCTTGGACAACTGGAAAGGTTACAACCAACATTATAATCCACACTATAAGTATAGAATTAATTATGTCGTTGGGGGTGAGCGGGTTAGCGTAGCAGTTCTTTCTTCATTTTGCACCAATGAAGCCTGGGTTGAAGTCCCGGCTTGGCCCAGGCTTTAAGTGCATTTGGTTTCCAGTCCATATTCGCTCTCGCAGGTTTTCTCCGGGTACTCAGGTTTCTTCCTGTCTTTAAAACTGGACCTTCTTCCTGACTCCGTAATGTGATGCTGATTGATAAAGGTTATGAATAAACGTATAGTAACTGCACAAATAGCCTGAGTAGCTGAAAGCACCATTGAAATGAAACAACAACAATTATATCATTTAATGTATATCGTAATAAACTTCATGGCTGTACCAAGTCATTAACCAGTTCGTAATTAGGTGGCTTTCTCTCCCAACTGAGAATTTGACGCCGTTGTGTTTGATTAAAGGACATGTTGCTTGTATTGTGCACATAGCCTTAATCTTCCAGATTTAGAGTAAATCAGAGAGATTTTGTTGATAGATTTGCAATAGTTGGGGTCATAATTGTAAAATCATTTCACCAGAAGCATTAACCAAAAACATCTTTTTGGATGTTTTAGTTGTGGAACCCCAACAGTCAACAGTAACTTTCAGTGACGTTGGAGGAAATGATGAAACTTTACATGTGAGTTCATTAATCAGATGTCCATGATTTACTCAGTTTTAATCCTTTGGTTCCAGCAGCACTACTGCATTTGACTTAAGAGAAAGTAAAGATGATAATTACCAAATAAAGAAACAGGTGTAAAAACACTTGAATGTTTAATCCTGTCAATTGTCCTTGTTGACTTCCAAATAGAAACTAGTTACAGTGTACTATTTAAAATTAAAATTGTGGGTTAACGCTACTATTCTCAAAAAACACACAGGACTTCATATGATGTTACTTCACACTTCTTTAAACCAACAGGCGTGCTAAATCCAATTGGCTTATATTTTGGTCTTGATTGACTGTGATTTCCAGGAGCTGTGCAAGTTGCTGATCCACATGCGCCATCCTGAGGTGTACCAGCAGCTAGGGGTGACCCCACCCAGGGGAGTGCTTCTCCATGGACCCCCAGGATGTGGCAAGACCTTACTGGCCCATGCCATTGCAGGGGTGAGCTCATTTAAACAATGCAGTTCATTCAGTAACTAAGTAGAGAAGTCATGGACAAAGATGCAGTACACTCTTAGTAGAGGAGCTCTCATTTTATAATATGAACATTGCTAGGGTAATAAACTGGATGCCAAGATGCTGGGGAGAATCAGAAGGATTTCGTTATCCACCGATCACACTGCCCTGTTTTCCGGAGGGTTGTCTCTAGAATTGGTTTACTGTTGCAAGTCAGATGCTTTACTTTCATCCTTTGAAGATCCATCTGTAGTATGTTATATGGTTGCAGGAGCTTCAGCTTCCATTTCTGAAGATAGCAGCAACTGAGATAGTGTCAGGTGTGTCCGGAGAGTCGGAGGGTAACATCAGGGACCTCTTTGAAGAAGCCATGGTTAGTCATTTGCCAAAGTCTGTTCAGTTCTTGTTGTTCACCTTGAAAAGGTACTTTCAACGTGATGGAGAAGAAATGTTTGCAGACGGTGCCTACAAAGCCAGACATTTGGCTTCCATGTTTTCTTTGGCATTATAGATTTTTAAACATATAGAAATTTCTTTCATGTAATGATTATAAACCTCATCACCAAACTGAAGCAAAATTAATGTGGTTATTGTTTACAGGGTCTAGCTCCTTGTATCCTGTTCCTGGATGAGATTGATGCAATTACTCCTAAGAGGGAGACAGCCCAGAGAGAGATGGAGAGGAGAATAGTGGCTCAGCTTCTCTCCTGCATGGATGGTAAACCTAAGCCATAGCCATTACTTAGCCAGTTAGATCCCCCAAGGCTGTTTTGTTTTTTCCTTGGGCTTGAAAAATGTCTGTAGGGATTCAGTCATCATTCTTCCTATCTCAAAAACATTTGGAAATTATTTTTTTGTAAATCACAAGCCTTGTTGTAAGCAAACATCTCCAATGGGTCCTCTCCTAAAGTATCACATAATTCCTCTTATGTAATTTAGCACTCATTTTGATTGATGTAGGCATGTACTTTCAGTCAAAACATGTTAGTCAAAAAGCTGTGTCGTCTCATTTTTCCCACCAGCTTCCATTGTCAGCACTTTTCAAATAAATGGAGAAAATTACTGACATATATTACATTGCTTCGTCTGTTCATTAAAGCTGCAACCTTTTCAGGTTTAAACTAACCCCTGTGCAAAACTGGAACCATGGGATTCGATTGTCCAAAACAATCTACATACAAGATGCCACTGATCGTTGTAACATCCCAAACTGTGCCCCAGACTCTTTCAGAAAAATATGCCTAGTTAATTTCTTGCCTCTTAAACATTTGCATTTTTCACATGGTAGAACTGAGCACGAGTCCTCTGCATGTGCTGGTAATCGGCGCTACCAACCGAGCCGATTCCCTGGATCCAGCGCTAAGAAGAGCTGGAAGGTTTGATCGAGAGATCTGTCTGGGCATACCTGGTGTCAAGGAAAGAGAGAGGTAGAGGTTGGACTATTTCCAAGTTTGGTTTTATTTCTGTTTTCAATTCCGACAATTGGGAACTTTCAAAAGTTGAGGGGGGGAGGCAAAATACTTCTCAAACCCAAATGTCCCTAAATCTGCCTCCCCAAAGAGCTCTTAGCTGGGAAATGCATTCATTCAGCCAGTGATTAAATATAATTACGGAATTTGTAACATTGGACTGGCCTGAAAATGCATTTAATTAGCAATACAGTACAATTAACTGAAATAGTCGAAAGCAGTGAAGAAGAATTAACACTGATTGGTGCAATGAAAAATGCATATAGTTACAGGGATTACCGTAAATTCAGTTCAGTGTAAATTGGAAGGGAATAGACTGATTAGCTGTCATTACAAGTAGAGCGATAGCTGATGCCCTCGGTGTTCATTTCCTGGTGTTTGTGGGTTTTAGTGTTTCAAGAGACTATCCCAAAACCAGCTGTTTTGAAAATAATTGGCACTTATGCATCATACGGAGTTTGTGATGTACACTAGATGTTAACTCTTGGCCATACGTGTTTACGTGTTTTATGTACAAGGATACTGCAAGTTCTGTGCAGAAACTTACGTCTGTCTCAAGACTTCAGCTTTGCCAGTCTGTCATCGCTCACACCAGGCTATGTAGGAGCTGACTTGATGTCACTCTGTAGAGAGGCAGCCATGTGTGCTGTTAACAGGTAAGACAAGAATGAATTGGGAAAAACCTGGAACTACTGATGTGACCGTGAAGTAATTGACCAACTTGAAAACATCACAATTTCTTTTATGAGATACACAGACATCACTGCAGCAATCCATAACTACCTTAGTGTTGTAGGGCATGCTGAAATTTGTGGCATATTTATAGTTTTGGAATTCTGGAACACTGAACTTGTCAACCACTACAAGGGTAACATGTGCAGGCAGCTTTCTGTAGCTTGGGTAAGGGTCATAGCTGAAAGTCACTTGAGATGTCATAACTGCTGTGACACTACACTTATACCAGGCATGTTCTCAGACATGACATGCCTGCATTTGGCAAGTCACATCACTCTAGGACAAGTTCTTATAATGAATGTACTTCACCCATTGGTCACTCGCCTCTTACCAATGTAAAGGAGCAACTACTTCACACCACCTGTGGGGTTCGAACCCCTGACCCCGTGATCGGGAGCTACAAAACCTACCCACTAGGCCACATACCCCCACTCTAAGGCTGTGTCGGAATCACTTGTCTAAGGCTTGAAATTACGCACAAGTCTATGACAGTGGCTGTGGCCAGTTCCCATTTAGTCGTGTGTAAATTCCGGCCGTAACTAAGTGATTCGGACACGGCCTTATATTTATACTATACACCTGTGTTTCTGTTCTACATGCAGGATATTCCACGACCTCCAAGTGCCATCTGAAAATGTTCAACCATCACCTATCTCAGACAGCACATCATCACGTCTATGCATTGAGGCAGACAATGGTGGAGAAAACAGAGCTAGTCAAAGTGCACAAACTGGAAAGCAGACGAGTCCAGGAACTATACAGGATGTGAAGGAGGCTGAGCAAGCAGACCCGAAACCATCATATCATTTAGGTAGTGTTATTAGTAGTCTGTTGCAAATGGAAGTCCTATTAACGGCATTATGAATAACATTCCAATGACACATTTCCTTCTTACGGATATGTTCTAAAACATCCACTCGCGTCAGCAGCAAAGCAAGAAACTTCTTGTGGGTTAATGTAACAACTACTTTCCAAATGCCCCTAGCTGAAGAAATGAAAATGTGTCTACAGGTAACCAGTTTACCACTCATTAACCCTTGTTCTGTCCAATTGAGAATTTAACTGAGAATTCCAAGTTCAAATTGTCTTTGATTTTTGGTCGTTTTTTATTTGTTTGTTCTTGTGCAGCCCTTAGTTGGTTAAAAGATCATTCACCACTCACAGAAGAACAGTTAGATGAATTGTACATTGAGATGAAAGACTTCGAGGTTTGTAAATCTGTGCTTGCATGTCCTTAGTGTATTACCTCTCATGCGAGAAATACCATTGAAAGATGCAGTGACTAAGAACCCATTAATTTAGGAGAAGCAACAGAGGAACGTCTTAACAATTGACCTTATGAGTGATCGGAGATCCTGTAACTTTCATGAAGAACTTTTGGTTAAAAGCATGCATGAAAAAAGGGTAAATTCTAGTCTGACTTGCATGAATATTTTGTGACCTATTAGAACACACACATGCCATCAGTGGCTAGCTTTGATTTTAACCCCTTAACAGCAGAATTCTTTTGACCGTGACTGCTGGGCTGCGGTATGCCCAGTATGCAAGCCCTGTCCAGCAGCAGGCCCACATTGAAACCGCAGGTGCATGATGAATAGAATGTACGTGTGGTATGCACTAATCCTCCCACTGAGCTGCAGCGTTTGCCGTCTCCCGGCGCGAAGGGGTTAACGGATGGTGTGCTTTTCAAATAATTATTAGTAATAGGTCTGGATAAATAAGTGATAGAGCTTGGATGGAATAATTTTTGTGGGCAGTAATTTGGTGGAAATGATGATCATGTAATTGTACACATTCTACTCAAGGTGGGCTTATGCATAAATTTAAGAGCAAATCAAATGGGGTAATAGCGAATATGACTACTGTAAAGCTGTTATATTCTTTTTCAACTTTTTTTTCCTACTTTTATTGTTTTCACAGGAAGCACTACCACACGTGCAACCTTCTGCCAAGCGTGAAGGTTTTGCTACAATTCCAGATGTGACATGGGACGACGTCGGTGCACTACACTCAATCAGGGAGGAGCTCTCCATGGCAATTCTGGTAGGAGAAAAACACTTTGTCAAAGACAACAATTATTGATCTGCACATATTTTTGCACTTATACAGGGCATTTCTTTCACTGGTGCCATTTGTTGGTGGGTTCCTAGGCTCCTGTGAGAAACCCTGATGCTTTCAAGATGCTGGGTCTGACATCACCACCTGGTATCCTGTTAGCTGGTCCCCCAGGATGTGGCAAGACTCTGCTGGCAAAGGTAAGTCTCTTAAATGGCAGAAAGCATTTCACTTGGCATTCCATGTTCTCCTTAAAAATATTTATGTCTACTCACACCCAGATCAAATAAGTGATATGCATACAGAAACCAAAGAAGCAGATGGAGTTTAACACCAGTGTGTTTTCACAGGAAAATAGATTCTGCGGATTTAGTGTTCAAACTTCAAAAATCAATTCATTATGCATTTTCTCCTGATTTTCAAAAGAAATTTGTGAAAGCATTTGTCAGGAGATAGTGAGGAAAGTACCAGTGAAGTTTCTGTCACCCAAACTGAAACACAAGTTCATTGATATTGGGTTTCGGGTTGATTAAGTAATTTCTTGTAAAGCTGTGCAGATTCTGTGGGTTAAGTGTTCAAAACTCAATATTGACTGCTTTAGCTGGTGGACCACTTAAAACCTGACTTCTCTCTGTGATCCACTGAACATTGAATTTTTCTCAAGAGCAACTCAGAAATGTAGAATACTCGGTGGATCACCCCAACCATACCACTTGAGGCAATCAACAGTTGTCTTTTTCATTCTTTATTTATCTATGGTTTCTTTACCAGCTTGGTTGGTCAGACTCATGTCTGGTCAACATCATGTTGTATGCAATGATTATAAGTGGTGATTTCCACCTGTACATAAGGACAATCACTGTTCAAATGATTACTTTCTAGAATTTCAAAGCTTTCTTTTTTTTTTCTTGACAGGCCATAGCTAATGAATCAGGCATTAATTTCATATCAGTTAAAGGCCCTGAGCTCATGAATATGGTAAGTGATCAAGCAATTTTGGACAAGATTTCCCTATCACACTGTATTGTGTGATCTTCAGTGTTTGAGCTTATCTCCCCTGACCGCACTACAATTATGCAATACAGGAAAAGGACCCCCCTTGTCGGTGAACTTTTTATCTGATGTGAGAGACAGATTTTCTCTACCAATCTCTGAATTGACAGAATTTGCTACTCGATGTGACTTTGTTGCCACTGCTCGTTGGCAGAGGGTATACTGACCAGACCAGACTTTGTATCTGACCACAGTATGTTGGAGAGAGTGAGCGTGCTGTGAGACAGTGCTTCCATCGTGCAAGAAACTCAGCTCCATGTGTCATCTTCTTTGATGAACTGGATGCCCTCTGCCCCAAGAGGTCAGATTCTGCAGAGGTGAAATCATCTTCGCATCTTTATAAGTTTGCATAGCTAAACGGCCCATCAATTTTTGTAGAGATTTTGAAAATCTCACAAAATAAACATTAAAATAAACATTGAAATAATTTGTAATGGGAATATTGCTGATGTATACATCTATGAAATTTTACTGAAGCACCTATCTGTATGTTTTCTTGGACTCAACATTCTTGCTTGTGATCAGACAGACGAGTCCTTTGCCTTAAATACAGTTCAACTGAGGTATCTGATTAGGATGAGAATTAACCTCTCCAGATTGCTGTGTTTGTTTGTAGTCTGGCTCCAGTGCCCGTGTTGTCAATCAGCTCTTGACTGAGATGGATGGCCTTGAAGCAAGGAAGCAAGTCTTCATAGTTGGAGCTACCAACAGGCCAGGTACGTATTGAGCAGATTCACATCAGTGCATTTACTGAGGCAACGCCCACGATGATAGTGAGAGATTTTTGTTTACGTTGCTTGCGTTTGTTTCAATTAAAATACTGTTGGTTTAATACTCTTTCAGCAAGTTTTGCGTATACAGTTCAGCTTATATGTTTTAACAGTCAGTTGTTTAATTTTAAAAAAACTGTGAAAGAAAACTGAACAACTTTGTATCCTTGATTTAAACCAGGTGTCTATCTTTAACTCTTTGGTTGATTGTTGACAGTGCTATTATGTTCCTTCAGATATCATTGATCCAGCTGTACTGAGACCTGGACGTTTGGACAAGACCTTGTATGTGGGAATCCCCAGTCCTGAAGATAGAGTAGCCATACTGAAGACTGTCACCAAGGTGAGACAAAAAGGAAGAAGGTAGTAATTCTCGGTGTGCTAAAAAGACTGTTGGACATTTGGGCAATTTATTCACGCGGCTTTGTAGGTCATTGTACAATCCTGTAACCTATGGAAATTGTTTTGCAGTGTCCCTTTTCTCTTAAGCCCGGTTTCCATATGGTTGTGTGCAACACAGACGGTCCTCAAGACATCAAGACGCAGACAGTCGCAGGGGAGACAAGATGCAATGTTATTCCATCCCAAAAAATAAACAACATGGCACCCAAAGCTCAGAAAATTTTCGCCCAAAATGCCTTTTTTAGGTGGCAATGTTTCCTCTTGAAGTCACACTGATACTCCAGCTTGATTTTATCTGTCAATAGTCAGCTATTTTGTTGACGATTGGGGCTGCATGTGTTAGTAATAAGGAGAAAATGGACAAAATGAGTGGTACATGTATTAAGTGAGAGAAACATCAGTGTACGTCCATTATGCCAGTGTGTGTTTGTATAGGCCTACTCAGCGACTCAACGCAGACAGTCGGCAAAGTTGAACCGGGCTCAATATTGCGGGTCTGTCTGGAGCTGGTTTGCATTATCGGTGAGACTTGCGTTTGACATGTTTCCATATGTCTGCGTTGCAGTTTACACCGTAATGGCGTTGCTCTCTGCGTTTCTCACGTCGATATGGAAACCAGGCTTTACTCACCTATACAGAGTTCAACCTAACGTGCCTGAAGCAGTCTGTCCTGGCTGATTAGGCATTGGTGGACAGGTTTTCTGTTTGGCAAATTTGGCATTGTGAAGACTCCTAGATGTCCTCACATGTTTGGTTTCCCACTAACTGCAGTTGTACAGCATGTATGTGGTCCCCAGAATTACAGAACGAGCACATGCATACTGGTGAGTTTTGTCTGTGTGGTCTAGTTTCTTTATTCACTTTATATGAGCTCTTTCTGCTCTGATTCCTTCTGTCTTTAGAATGGTACAAGACCTCCATTAGCTGATGATGTCATCTTAGAGAACATTGGACATGATGACAGGTGTGATGGCTTCAGGTATGATACTGTCATTCGAAAACAATCTTTATCCCAGCGATAATACTTCAAAAGTTCACATCTATTTAACTTGTTGTCTTAGATCTTCAGCATGTCATGTCATGGTTTTTGTTTACAAGTGTAGTAGAGTTTTGGTCCCTCTTTTCAAATAACAAGCAGTGAGATACTTGTGGGTGTCCTGTGCTGTACAATATTATAAGCTTTTAGTGAAATTACAAAAGGGAAGGTAATTTCTTTGAGCATTTGAAAGTTTTGCAGCAAATCCACGTTTGAATGACAAAGTCCTTATCTCATTGAGATGCACACTTGACAATCAAATTACATCATTTCCTCGTCAGTAGCACGCCGTGCATGGTTGTTAAATACAGTTACATGTACTTTGAATTCTGAAGAATAGCTGTGTGACTTTGGATGTTCCATCATTACTGTAGTACCCCCCTTTTTTCACAGTGGAGCTGACCTGGCTGCCTTGGTGAGAGAAGCCTCCATGGCTGCTCTAAGGGTAGTCCTGTGGAGTGTACCAACAGGCACTAACCCAAGGGGTGGTGGAACAGAGAGGGGCACTGGAGTTTCCCAAGTAGCTGTGACTGCAGCTGATTTTGAGTCTGCTTTTGCTAAAGTGAAGGCGTCTGTGTCTAAAAAGGTCAGTTTAAGTGTGGCACTTCCTTTTGATTGTATAAAGTCCTGCTTGGGAAATCAATTTATTAACAAAAGTGCTGAATTATACAGTTGTATGTTTTTGAGACACTGTTGTGGAAATCCTTTCCAGGTGTGGACATGGACTGTAGTTGCCACACCCTTAACTAGACTCTCTAATCGTCTATCTAGACATACAAAAAGAGTCCATTTTTTCCACAAAATTTCCTTCGCCATGCGACATCAGTTGATGTGGAAAGTACATGGCAATGCACACTACATGGTGTAAAGTCTACCATTGTGGAGCGTATGGTGTGACAGATATTTAGCCTATGCCTAGTGTCTAACTACAGGTGGCTTCACTGAAAACATTTTCCCCCCTTTTTTCTGTGCAGGATCGAGAGCGATACAGAAAACTGCGCTTGAATGCACTGGACTTGTCTGACGAACACAAAGCAGCAGCGCCTACATGTACATGAGATGACTTCTGACTATTTTGTCCAAAAGAAAACATCTTATCTTGTGAACTTGAGATTTTGGCTTGAAACTTCGGTTTTTCCAACACATATTTCAGTTACAATAACACGACATGGCTCATTGCATTGTATGCCGAGGTTCAGAATCTAAATCGAATGGTTAGATTCAAGAAATAGAGAATTTCAGCCTTGGCCTTGCTGAATAAAAGTAACAAGTCATCATGGCAAACAGTAAGTATAACTCTAGATAAAGGCACATCTCTCACACAGTGGGTTATGAGTGAATGAATGAAAAGGGACTACACGTGTATATATTTCCATATGGCATTGACAGTTTTGGGCAAAGGGCAGATTTAAATCCTATTTCTACAGACATTTATGCAACCCTAAATTATTCCTTGAAAATCTAAGATTATTTCCTTGTGTATAGTTGGGAATGTGACAAAACTGACAAAGGGTCACCACAGAAGCTGTCCTTTTATGTTGGATATTTATTTTACCATTTTAAAATTACCATCAATCCATGAGCTGTAAAACCTGTACATTACATCAAGCAATGTAATAAATAGAATTTGACCTAAGCTTGCTCATGTCCATATTGGCACCTTTGTCATTTTGGAATTTCCTACATTATTGTTATTCTTATTTCTCATTAAAATGTTGAAAAGCTTTTATGTGAAGCATTGTAGAGAACCCAATAGAGGGATCCCAATACGATGCTTTTAGCATCAATCTGCGCACTTCCGCATTTGAAAACAAGGCTGTATGTGTCAGCTTCAATTCTTAATTCGATCAGATGATTGAAAGTAAGGAGTCAAGACACAAAATACATAAAGGTATGTTAAATTCAGACTTTTCAGGCTTCCAATTTTTCAGAAAGAGTCTTTCAGGATGACTCGACACGTAAAATCAAAAGAAAAAATAACGGCCATTTACCGCGAACTATCGTACCTGCGATGGTCGTGTATCTGCATGTGCAGTGGGCGTGGTTTAAACTGAAGTGGCATCATACTTACAAACCGGATATTGCATGTACTGTGTTTACTCTGCGGGTGCACGTGACGAAGTTCAGCACAGAGTGCCTCGGTTTCGATGCGGATATGCGCAAACGGCGCTAATGTGAAATCCCTCTATTTAATATATTTGAAACAAGTGCCAAGGATCTTTGCACTAAAAAAGTTGCAGAAGCTCAGTGGTAAAGTATTCAAAATACAGAATTGAACATCCAATGCCCCGACTGAAACAACACTGAGGAAGCAAAGGAACTGTGGCAAAGACCACTCAGCGGCTGGTTGCAAACCCTGCTGGAGTAGTGGATGGCACTTTGCATTTGTCGCATGAAACATAACATGTGCACAAGCTGGTTTACACACAGAAGGTGCTTTTTCGTCTGAATGAGCAAAAAGCCACGGCATCTTGGCATGGTTTGCTCGCCACAGCATGTTTCAGTCTCTCTGCAACCACTGGTGCAACGGCCCCTGTGCAACGACTTCTTAATCTAAACAACTTCCTGTAAGAGTGACTTGGACACATATATCCACAGTGTGATTTTCATTACACAAGTAGACCACCATTAGTAAAAAAAAAAACAAGACCAGGAAAACACAAACAATACTTAACCAAATTCTACAGTAGCTAATACATACAAGGCATGACATGAAGCATTGGAGCATTAAATTGCATTGCAAAGCCAGAGTTGTTTAATGGCATTTATCAGAACCATCAGCCAGTTGATTAAATTTACTCACCTTAGAGTGTGACCTATTTCTTTCTCTAAAAACCTCAAAACATCCTGTAACTCTGTGCACAAATTATAGGAAAAAGCCAGCTTGCAAACCCAACACAGTACCGCAAATTTGGCTGAAGTGTGTCAGCACCAACTCGAGCAAACTTTGTAAGTTACAAGTTTGGTGAAGCAATTTGATTCCAGTAAAGTCCGCTTGAGAAACTGAAACAGCCTGAGAAACTAATTTCATAAAGCATAAATGGAAAATGTCACCAACCACTGTGATACGTATAAAACTGCTTCAACAAAGCACTACTGAGCACTGTTGATTGGTGTATCGTGAAAAAAATTACTATGCCTTGGTGCTCTGTCCAGCAGTTCCACAAACTCTGACTCCTGATCCATGACCCCAAGGATGGGTCACTATGAGCCCTTAAGTGGGTAGAGTACATCATAATGCCCTGGTCTGTACAGGAGAACAACCTGTGGAGAGCAGCCGTCGGGGAAATCGTGGGGGATGACTTTTCCCCCTTCTCCCCTGTCAAGGTAGACGACGCGAACTCCGACATCCAGGGCAGAAGTCAACGCAATGATGTGAATGTGATCGCTTTCCCTGGCCATTGGTTCAACTTCCTGCACAAGACAGAGAGAAAAAAAAAGACTGAACGCAGGTTGATGTCATCCAATACAAAGTTGGTAACAGGTTACCACGAGTGAAGGTCTTTTTAGCCATGTTGCTGTCAAGTCCATCACAAGTCCTTCAGAAGTCCTCTCACAAGACCAGTTATAGGTAACACGGTGAACGATGATAAAGGAATGCTTTTTGTTAATTTGAATAGCTAGTGACTTGGCTTGAGACTGGATGGCCTGTGATGGGCTTGCAGGGCTCAGCTGCAACACTGAATGTTAATGGTCTCAGATACTTCAATTAGTGCTCACTGTGCCTGCGACATGCTCATACCAAACCTATCATCCAGGAGAGGAATGATTACATAATACTCACCTAGACTTCTCGATCTGAAAATGACAGGTCTGGATGAAACAGTCAATAGCATCTCACATTTGCGCAGAGATTTGTCATCACGGACCATCATAACCAGTACAAATGTGCCTGCTCAGTACACATTTCATTTTTCTGTTTTATCTTCTAATCCCTTAAATTGCAAATACTGGGGGAAAATTATTGAAAACCTATTTCCGTTACCGAAAGCACCCTATAAATTGAGAGAGCAGCACAAGCATATAAGCAATATAACAAATGTATCAACCATGTAAGCAAGATTGCATTGTTTCTAAGTACCACATAGTTTGATGTGAGTTGATGAGGGAAGCTGGTTCTTGGCATATAGCCAAAATATTCCCAAGCCATTCTAAACTGTTCAATATGACACAGGATCAGCCTGTGTGCCAAACTGACCCGACGACAGAACTCCTTGACTGTCCTCCCCCCCTCAATGAAGTTCTCGTAGAATTCGGCATTCTGCTGGAGCTGACCCGACGTCAGTAACCTCAAGTAGACCACAATGTAATCGCTGATTCCTTGGTCCCTGAAAGTATCCACCAGCTCATCCACTTCAGGTTGTTGTTCCACTTGTTGAATGACCTCCATAAACTGTGGATCAACAGATCAACATCGACTGAGTGCAGTTTGATTTCTTACAATTGGTGCTATGCAGGGGGATGCCACAAAGACATTCCTATCTGGGCAAAAACATGTAAACGAAGGACTACTGCTTCATTAGAAAAGCAAAACCAGGAAAGACGGACCACATGAAGTATTTGAGGTGGTAGGTGACTTTTAGAGTGAAGTCATGGCATTTGGTTGACATAAAACGGGAAAGCTTGTCAAGAACCATGGATAACCATAACCTGATTATGCCTCACTGATTACCTTGAATGCATGCTAGACAGTATGCTTAGCCGTATACTAAACAATATTGAAGTCAAGTACGTTACGAGACCACACAAGCTATCCAGTACCAAGATATAAGCTATTTCAATAAATTGTGACAAAGCATTCCTTCATCGCTGTTTACCTATTCTTCCCGACTGGTCTTGAGAAAAGACTTGTAACTAGACTCAACTACAGCCCTGCTGCTAACATTAAGCCTTCCACTAACATGACTAAAAAGATATAGCAACCACTTCCCCTTGGATTCACAGAAACACACAAAGAGGTTTCACATTACTCAAGTGGAAAGAACACCAGCTTCACTGTGTGGCATCTTTTTAGGCGAATGTAAACCCAAGAAGTACTCACCGTTTCATGGAAATCTGTGATAGTGAACGAGGGAAAGCCAAGGGATACAAGTTGGTCCTTACTCATTTCAGCAGCTGTTTTAAGTCTGTGGGAAAGATGGTTGACAAAGAAGGGACAACCAGTGGAGAGATTACTGCTAAAATATGCCACTACATTGTTGTGTGCTTAACAAGCAGATGAGAGTCGTCTCGTGCATGAACAAGAGATGATGTGCTTTTACACAGTGACAGCATCCCTTCTAACGGGCGCGCACATACATGTACACCTATGTACTTGATGCAGGTCACACTGAGTGCACACAACCCATTTCTATTGGGATGTATTCAAAGTGTCTGCAAGTGCACCAGATGTGCGGTTAATCATTCCCTACCAGGTTTTCTCTTCTCTGCTGGTGAGGGAGTGCTTTAACACAGAGCAGAGAGTGACCTGAATGATGGCTACTTCATTTCCCTTCAGGTCAAATGGTGAGCCTGTTGGCGTAGCAGGTAAGCATTAAATTTCTCATAGGTATTTGTACTGGTGACGCCAGTTTACATGTGCGTATTCCTGTGGGGCTCAGTGAACTGTGGGCCCCCACTGGCTCCATAGGAAAGTGCAAGAGTAATAAGTGATGTCATCCGCACATTAAGGTACATATACCTCTCTCCCCTTAACCCCTTTCACAAGCAGTTAAACAGACCAGTTATATTTCCACTGCATTCAGCGAGATGGTAAGCACACCATTTGCCCTAACCCTACTCAATCCTTTCAAATCCTCTGGGTTGTTCGGGAGGATTAAGAATGAATGGTACAAAAGTGTGGCTGATTGTGAAGGATGGGTTGTGTCAAAGTTGTGGGTGAGACCTTGTGTTGTTTATGTTCGGCCATGCATGAATTCATGCCTACATTATATTTCAAATCCTCCATGCTGCACCGGGATACCATTCACGCTGCCTCAACACAATGACAGGAATTGCTGGAGAATTTTGAAGGATTGAGGCAGTGGGCACTCCTCAAAGGAGCATATTCAAGAAAATTGGAGGAATTTGGAGTCTTGAGGAGGGTGCCTGGCAAAAAGGCCCAAGGGGTTAGGGCTAGTACAGTAGGGTCCAAATGACAATTCAAGATTAGTCAATTTGTTACCTTTTTAATTCCTTTTTATCGGTGAGAAGCCTCTCTAGATAGGCAAAACCAAACGCTCTAAAGAAGCAATTACCATCACCTCGGGTTTTCCTGATGTGTGAATACTGCATTGATAAATCCTGAATGCAAAAATCAAATGTGAGACACAAAGAATAAAATCTACTCAAAAAATTAACCTGTCCTCTCTTCTCTCACAGCAAATATGAAAGAACAAATGCACTTGCTGAGTCCAATTTCTAAATATTTTGCTTGCTGTATGACAACACTTTAAGCATGAGACCAGTTTTGCAACTTCCTCATAGGGCTCAGTTACATGAATATTCAATACCTTATCATTCCCGTTGAAGGCTCATTGCACATGTGCATTAATTTCCTTCAATATTTAAGATTGGAACTTTAATTTGGTGACTGGATTAAGAAACAATCCTGCCTGATTACTTAACTACAATAAACCAAGCTTGATACCTCAGGTATTTATGTAGTTTACCCTCACAGTTTTGGCACGTTACCAGACCAAAGCCACAAGGGCCTACATTAATTTAATGTTATCCTAACTACAAATATATCTGGCTACATTAATTTTGAACATGAATTTGACATTGTTTGAAGACTAACCAAGATCAAGGTAAACCATACAGTGAAGATGACCGTTATCAAATTCCACTCACTTCAATCTTGGCTTTATAGACAGCGTCATCAAGGTATTCATCAAATAGGACACTGATGGGATACCTGTCACTGACCAATGGGCAGTTTTCTTTGATCTGTTGAAGAAAATGGAAGTGGTTGACACTTACTGCCTTCGTTTAAAAAATGAATTTGTCCCATCGACAGTATCAAATACCAAGGCACTCCCTGAACTCCCCCCCAAACCTTACTGGTGTACATACATGTTCAAGACCTGTTGTCCACTTATGAATGACATCTCGCAATCACCTTTGGTTCTATTGATGGATCTGTGCAATCGCATGATCATGCTGCACTATTTGTCAGCTCAGGAAGAAAATCTACGATCTTGTATTTCCTATTATGAAACAGTTTTTCATGAATTAGAAAGAAAACATGGTTGATTTATGAAGCAGGATCAACAGATTTGGTACAGGACCAACTGACAGTGCAGAGCAATCAAATGATTGCACGGATCTATCGATTGTGCCCAATATCCAAATCTTACTGCGATAAGACTGGAAACAGCAAGAGGGCTTCTTGTAAAATTCACCAGAAAATCTTCATCGTTGACAATTTGTGACCGACATACACACATCTGCTTTAACATTCTGTGCTTCTGCATCTAATTCTTTGGCTTGCAAGCTTGGTTCTTTCTGAGTCATTAGACCAACAATGGTTGATTATCTGATTCGTCATAACAACCTGCACACATGAAACTCGTGATTTTGCTCTTCTGAACTCAAAGTGTTAAGCCTCAGTGCAAGCTAAAATGATGTGTCAACTGTCTGTCCTAACAGCTAACCCTTACCTCGTTCTGAATGCGTTCTTGCTGTGCAATAATCGCCTCTTCTCGTGCCATACCTAAAGGTAAACAACAAATAATTTACTTCAACAAAACATTTATTTCACTGAGGGATGACTTATGCTTCACAAGCCTCACCCAACCACTGAAAGAGGCATGTCAAATCATCTATTAAGAGTGCATCTGTGAATGACATCAGCTGCACAAGGGATATGTTGTTACGTTCCCATGGTAAGGCTACATCCGAATCACTTGGCTTCAGCTTGAAACTGCATGTGACTCTATGGGAAATTGTTGCAGCCACTACCATTGACTTATGTGTAATTCCTAGCCACAGCTAAGTAATTCAGACACAGCCTAACTTACAGGCCTGTGTCAGATACCCAACGGTCACTATCAAAACTCGGTTCCATTTTTCGGGCTGGGTACCCGTAAACAGAGAGAAAAAATCCACATGTGAAATGTGTGTGAACTTTAAAGGAACCAGGAAATTAACTTTTCTTAGAATCACTTTTTGTGTATCTCTGTACACTTCTTCCATGTATGAAGACTGTTGACATCTTTTTTGAGTTACGTGAACTGAACAGTGCACTTTTTCAAACATTAACAATTGACCAAGCATTTCTGGTTAGGTGAGGGCTCTTTTGCTTTGATGTAAATCCAGGAAGACATGGTTCAGGTTGCATGTTTTCATGTTCAAATTGTGAATTTGCTATCTGGGATCATTTCTGTGAAAAGGATGTTTGCTGGATTATTGCCATATACTTACACAGCAACAAATTGCCAAAGAAAATGAAATCTGCCACAGCAGCGTTTAAAAAAATTTCTAGAAATTTTCAGAGCACAAATCAGTGCAACATCAAGATTCAGTGCCTTGCATGACATCATAGTTCTGCTCGTGAATATGCAAATATGCATTAGCATAAAAACCCAAAAAGCATCAAAAATATGGGTTAAAATTGCGAACAAAAATTTAAAATAAGGTTGATTGAAACCTTAACTTTGGTAAAATTTATAATAATATTTCTATTTCCTGGTTCCTTAATAGGGAAGAGAAGAATTCAGCTGAAAATCACCGTGCTGCGGAAAAACCCAGTCCCATGGATATAACTGCGATTCAGAGATCAATGGAGCTTCTTTTGTTACAAACGGACGATGACAAGTTTGTTGCATAAAATGGTAGGGGAGATTCCCCTCTTACGTTTAGAACAATGTGCTGTTTTGGGCACATGATCCGGCTCGATTGCACACAATGCCATTTGTTAAGTGATGTTTATATTTTAAGGGTACTCGGGTACCCAATATTGACATAAAACGGGTACCTGGCTCCCAAAAAACTGTAAATGAACACACATCCCTACTAACTCATACCATTACAGGTGTCAGACTGGGCATCAGCACATGCCATCTCCTTCCATTTCATTTCCTGCCTAAGTCTTTGAAAAATAACCATTTTACTAAGAGCCAGTACTCATTTTTCACACGGGGGGGGGAGAACAGGTTAGCGTAGCGGTTCTTTCCAATGAGGCCCGGGTTTGAGTCCTGGCTTGGCCCAGGCTTTAAGTGCATTTGGTTTCCAGTCCATACTCGCTCTCGCAGCTTTTCTCCGGGTGCTCCGGTTTCCTCCTGCCTCTAAAACTAGACCTTCTTCCTAACTCCGTAATGTGATGCTGATTTATAATGGTTATGAATAAACGTATAGTTACTGCGCAAATAGCCTGAGTAGCTGAACGCGCCATTAAAACCGACATTTTTTCACACAAACTGGTATCAATTTTTATAAAACTGCTGCCAAAATGACAAAACATTTGCAGAGAAACTCATAAAAGCTCAGGACAACTTTTAAGCATGTAACAATTACATGTACATTGGAGGAAATACCCATGTTTAGAATAGTTGAGGGCTACATGTAATTTTTACTTTAAGATCACCTTCTACATATATGTTAGGCATGATCAGTCGATCTGCCCGATCTGTCTATCTTTGCAAAATTGCTCAACCTTACTGCATGATCTGTCAATAAATTTCACCTTCAGACAATCACCTTTTCTTCATAAGTCACACAGTGTTTCAGAAAATCAAATTAAGGCCCCCCCAAAAAAATCTCCTGTTTCTGGCCAGCGCATGTATTGCTGTAGACCAGAGCATTGGCAAAATAAAGATTTTTATTTGGTATAAAATGATGTCCAAAAGCTGCCAAATGTGCAGGAATCCTGCTACTGTGTAATTTTAATGTGTTTTGGATGGGTTACGGTTGATGTGTACAGTTTATGTACAGTAAAGGAGTCCCTCTGGTTCCCCATACATTTAGTTGGGCACTCTTTAGCAGCTGACATCATTTCTATATCATACATTTACATCTGGCAACCAGACAAAGAAGGTGGTCTTATGTCCTGTGTAAATGTACAAGCTAATAATGTTTTTAAAAAGTAACAAGTAGGGAGGGAGTCTATTTACGTGTTGGTACATGTAACGGCTGACGTCACGTGCGAATGCAGTTGCAATAAACATTGTGCGTTATACGTACATCATTTCCAGAAAAAATAATTTGGGGAAAAAAAGCTGTGTCGCCGCACTACTTTTGGAGCCAGTTCTGGACCAGAAACCAGAGACTTTTTGGGCGGCCCAAAGTAATAGATTTTGCAAAGGATGGACTTATAGCACAGCACTATTGTACAATCTTGCAGATCAACTACAATGTAACTACATGGACATCTGAAATATATAAAACATTCAATTTCAATTCAATTTATGTATCAGAGAAATTACACAACTTAAACTACCAAAGATAAGAATTTAAATTTTTTTCTACATCCTCAACCAAAAAATGAAAAGATGGCCAATGCAAAAATGAACGCCATAAATAATCCAATTTCTCCAACTTGGTGGACAATGAATGACATGCCTCAGGAAATGAGGGTGTCAGAAAACTCATCCATTGACAGATTTGACTCAAGAAAACTTGTCCACCATATTATTAATGGAACAACTCGACAATTCACTGAACAGTTCAGACAACCCAATCATTCAGACAACTGGACTTGAAGTTGAATCATTCATACAACTCAACCATCATCTTTATGGGCTTCAAGTGTGTAGTGGATGCTATATGAATCATGTATGCATAAAACTCCTGTGCTATTTGCAAGTCTTCCTGTTTGGCATATGTGATGCTACAGTTTCTTTTGCCAAGCATTTTTAAGAAACAAAAACACAGATGCAAGATTTATTCTTGTTGTTTGGTAGGCCTAGCTTTATGGACATACATATTTTCATGATTTTGGCAAGCTGTGCCATAGGCCTAGGTCTATAGTAAGTCCGCTGACTAATGTCTCCAAGTTCAACAAGTTTTACGGGAAAGCCATACCAGGCGTTTCGTTTTTACACTGTACAAGTACAATGGATGACTTGTTTTGAACGGACCACTTTGTCCGAACGGACCGTGGCTTGTTTGTATGATCATGGAGGAAGGAACACAGTGTTCCTTCCTCCATGGTATGATCGCAGCATCGTGCTGCGCAAACCGACCGATCGTCGTCACTCGTTTTGGAACCTCTTGCTACATTTCATTGAAAAAAATGCACACTATCTTCGTACCCGTGAGTTCTTCAGTGTCTTGGTCCGCAACACCACTAGCATCTGGTTGAATCTGATTTTCATCCATGATCGCTACTGGACTGAACTTGGAAGTCACAACCCTAACCCGCAGCACCCAGTGTGACAGGAACACTTGCAAGAGAGCTAGCTCTGAACGTTACAGGAGAACAGCGCCCTCTATTAATAACCTGCTGTCGGATAATTAGGCCACTGCATTGGGCCGGGGTTTCGTCTGCGAAATTCCCCCCCCCCTCCTTTTTTGTTTTGTTTTTTTTTAATGTGAAGGGCGAAATTTTTGGGTCATTTTTCCTTACTCCCAAAGCTTGAAGAAATCCCCAAAATGTAGCCTCACCCCTCAAAAAAACCATAAAAGGTTACACGACAAATTTCCCAGTTGTTTTTTGCTCTCCCATCACACCGCAAGTCCCCCCCCCAAAAAAAAGGGTTCTGGGTTCGCCCTTGCCCCCACTTACTGATTAAAGTAATACCATCGTTTTCATTTCCTCTTCCTTTTTATTTCAATTCATCTATTTTCCAATGTTCACAAATAGATAAATGAAATTATATCTCAAAAGTATTTGAACAAAGGAGTGCAAAAAATGCAGAGGGGCCCAAAAGAAGCAAAGCTTGACCCTTACACTTACAGGTGTGTTCTATAAGCGAGGATTGAATATACATTGTTCGTGTTTGCACTCATAAATGTGTAACACTAGGGTCAATGCAAATACTGAATAACGAAACTTCACATACAATCATTAACACAGCATACATTACAAAGGACAGGAAAAGGACAGGCACACAGAATAAAAAGGAAGAAATCATTTAAATCACAATTTACTTTAATCAACATGTTTCATTACAAATTCCTGGATTAGTCATTGTCAGCTGAATAACACATATCTACTGGGTACACGTATACAATGCAAAATTGAAAGATGTTTGAATGGAGAAAAGGCATAACAGAAACTGAGGTAACAAATATATACAAGGTACACCTAACCAGAAACTAAGTTGGCATGAACTTTCATGCACACACAGCATTCCATTCCCACCTAAATAATAAATTGACAAAAAGCAATAAGGCACAAAGCATTAACAAAAGCCTGTGCAAGTTTAACGCTCTATTGCACTTCCTTTTCCAATTCATGGAACAAATATCCATACAGAGTTAATTAAAACTTCGATGCAAAAATAGGGCAAAATGAGGCTAACTTATAAACATGCTCACTGTAATATCAATCTTGCATAATGTGATTTACTAAATGATTTGATGTGATCATAAGTTGCATTATCATAATATTTACAAATCATTCCACACAACCACATCTTTGAGGAACATCCATTTATACAAATTACACACTGTGTCAAATTTTTAATGATTTTGGTTTGTAGGAGATAATGGACAAATCAGTTTTTTCTTCAACTTTTGGCTCTTTATGGCTCCACAGCACTTAAGTATTTTCAGAAAAGTCAGTGTCCTGACAGCTAGGGTTGTAAATTTTCGATTTTGAATAAAGTGTTTACATTGCTTGGTCTCAGGCACTGCATAAAAAGAAATCCATGTTCCATTTTTCCGACAGAAAAAAAATCTAAGAGGTATTGATCAAACTTTGAATAAAGAAGGCTTTCAACAGCTTTTGTCTGTATCGAGTTGACTTAAGACCCTTCTCTGGAAATAACTTACGCTGTTTGAAAAATGTTTGACAGGAAAATAAAAAAACTAGAATATGAACTTGGTTGCGGTACTGCCAACAAATTAGAATAACACAACAAATTAGAATAACAGCACATAGCAAAGCAGTTAGGTTTATTTACACCTGTGTCAATTGTGTACGTTGTGGATACAGTGCTCTTACACTTTATGCTTACGTCTGTGAGGTGGATAAATAAAGCCTGGTTTCCCTATGGTTGTTTGTGATGCAGACGGTCTGCAAGACGTGAGGACGCAGACATGAATGGAAGAGAGGGCGCACCCCAAAATCGAAACAAAATGGCATCTGAAACTCTGAAAATACCCTTTTAGATTGACTGTATTGCCTTGTGATGCCAAACCTCTGCTCCAGTTTCGTGCATTTCATTGACGGTCAGCTATTAAGTTGATCATAAGGGAGTGATATTTAAGCATTGAGAAAATTGGCAAAATTCATGCAACTAAGTGAGAGAGACATCCTTGCATGCTGGTCATTCCAGCATTTGTGTGTTTGTATGGGGATACCACGGCTACTTGACGCAGACAGCTGCCACAGCTGAACCTGGCTCAACTTTGCCAATTGTTTGCAGGCTGGTTTGCGATTGTCTGCATTTTCGGCAACACCTCTGTTTGGCATGTTTCCATATGTCCACATTGCAGTTTGCACCTTGTTTGCGTTGCTCTCTGCATTTCTTACGTCAATATGGAAACCAGGCTTAACAGGCTAAAGACATTTTACAGTTTATACAAATATGTATGCATCGGTTGCAAGGGGCAATGCCGTTGTACGTCACAGTAACCAAATTTTCAAACAGCAAAATGATATGAGATGTAATACATTATTGAATAATAGCATTTTCCGGCTTACAATCTTTACTAGTGACCATACACCCATCCACACATTTTCCAATGGTGTCAACTTTATTCCATTATGCATCCGGCATGCACACAAACGCATCAAGTTCTGCATGCTATCATTCATCCCATTCTGTCAACGCTGTCTTCAACATGGTTCGCATGGGAGACATTTCTTTGCACTGTGACAGTGAATGGAGACCTTCCAGCACTTTTCAGATATGTATCCTGCGCGATACCACACTGTGAAATCTGACGCAAATGTGTCGGAAGATGCCTCTCCCCCAAATCTATCCTAAATACTCTCAAAATATGAATGGTGGGAATAACATTATGTAAGTCCCTACTGTGCATTTGCAGGGATGAAAGACATTAGAATTGAATGTCACAGGTCATGCCTGGTACCATGACCCATACTGTGATAGTAGGCTTGCCCGTTGGCCTTATTCATGAGTCAACCATCTTGAATTGAAAGTGAGGCTATCCTTGATGCAATGGGGGCAAATAATAGATTACCATCTCTGTGCTCCAATGGGTCATTCTAACTTATGGAAAGACATTTAAAAAGATGTGTAACTGTTTTTTTGTTTCAATGAAAAAACAAAAAATATTGTTTCAAAGTGAGGCTATACCTGTGTAACAACAGCAAATTAGTCAGGTTCCTTCCTGATTTAGAAAGAGTGTTCAATGTAGAAAGGGGATATAGGGACCATGATCCAAAATCTCCTGAATAAAGCCAATAGGTTGGTATCCTTGCCCAAGCACAAGGCAATGTCTCAATGACTTGGCTGGGGCTTAAATGTACACACAAGTCTATGATGGTGGCTGCAACCACTAGAAAGAGTTGTGTGTGTGATTTCAAGCCGTAGCCAAGTCAATTGGACATGGGCTGAGCTGTAACATGCTTACATGCTTGCAGGTTGAATAAGGCAGATATTGAATGAGCTCTATATGGGTCAACGTTGACACTAGCTGGCTATAGCCAGTGATAAGCTGCATCAAGTAGTCTTGGCTATGGCTAATGTAATGATAACACATGTGCCTTTGGAAGCCGCAGCGAGCATTAACATCCACTTCCCATAGACGGACATGTCACTGCCAGCTGCAGCCACGACTTGAGATACAGCTGTTGCCCCAACCAGTTACAGATCTGTGCCTAGGCTTGGGTTGGCCGCAGAGTAAGGCACGGTGGTCTCTGCATACACTCTGTTGGCTTGCATCATGGCAATCCGTTCTCTCCTCTGTTCTTTCTCCTCCTGGTCTAGGTCCAATGTCTTCCTCTCCTGAAGGTCATCACACGGATTAAAGAAAGAGATTCAAATCAAATGATCGACCAATGAATTTGCAAGAAAGTGCAAGTAAAAACAGGATCATCCCTTGCCCATTTATTTCAGCCACAAGAAGTACAATTGTCCATAGCAATTCCATAACAGATATCAGCAATCAAAGTGGACACGCCAGCAAGACTGTAAATTGAAGACTCCAAGCCCATCTATGCATCTTTTTGTTTTCAAGAGTCAATAGAAACATTCTACAAAAGATTCATGAACAGCAAACAGACAGGCAAATCTACTTGGATTTAATCAACTTTTAACAACAAACGCTCATATTTCTCGAATGAAGAAAAACGGACTGCAAGTCTTTAAATATCTGAAATGTTATACTTGAGATACAATTTTGGGACAACCAAAATAACTTAGAAAAGTAGCTTTGACAAGTTACTGGACAAAAAATGTGAGAAAGAGACAAGACAAAGGAACAATCAGATATATGATTGAAACAAACAATCTGGCAAAGTAAGCTGCACATGAACAAAACAGATCATACCTCTTCAGTTAATCTGTTGTATTCATTGATGGCAAACTGGTATTTGGGCGAGGTGATACCGAGGAAATAGGCCAACTTCTCCCCCAGGAAGTCACAGGCTGGAATTAGTCAACCCAAAACAAGGATGCCTTAGTTCAATGGCTTAACAAACTGAAGCCTGACAGACTTGATATTTTTCAATCAGACTGCCATCATCAAAATGTACCTCAATAATTTTCTACACCCAACCATGTTTTGCTGAGTCATCTTGCTAAATGCAACAAAATCCAACAAGGTAGAAATGACAATGGTCCTGAACTGAACAAAATCCAAGGGTGTATTTTGGTTACATTGATCAATGTAACTTGTAGCATTTTCTAAACAATAACTTTAGTTATTTAGGTAAAGGAATTTTAGTCAATTAGCACTCCACAATTATCAGTGTAACGTTACATTAAGAATTTTCTCATCTATAAACTTCATAACATAACTTTTACTTGCAGCAATGTTTTGGTGTACATGCATTAGGACTTCCAGCAGTCTCCTGAACATACCATTAACAAGTTTACTTGATAAATCACCATTACAGCATTTGAACCGCTGTAACTCCTTTTAAATTAACTTTCTAAACAACCAGTCAGTTACATGTATCTCCTAAGCGTGGGTGTTACAGGGAGCAGACAATGCTCCCTTCCCCAGAAAAATAATTTAAAAAAATAAAAAAGGAAAGAAAGTGAATATGCCATAGAACTGACTTCCCCTCCATAGTGAAGTTCGTCCGTCTGCCACTGTTGAGTACCCTCCCTATCCCCTTGTACTTTGGCTCTAACCATCACCACATTCCTTTAGAAGAGTTCAGCTCTTACCTCCAATGGTTTTAGTGGCTGCTACGACAGTGTAATACCACAGGTATGGAATCCAAGGCAATGTTTTCTGTAGATGTCAAGGGAAGTGATTACAACAATTTTGTCTCAGTGAGAAATGTTAAAATTGAATACCCCAAAAATATCTGCTAAATGTCTGTCTAAGCAAGGACCCTAAAAGCCTGACATAATCAGGCACTGTTCAAGAATAGAATGGTTCAAGATATCAACTGAAGGTACAATTTCGATTCTTATTTCCACATGCAGGTGATGCAGGCCCATACATGACACAGCACAAGAATGAATTTTCTTTTGGGGGATCTTTACTATATGCAACCTGACGGAATGTTGCCTGACCCTGCAGCCTACATGTAGGTGTGGTAGGAGGGTAGATTTTCTGGCTTTAGCTGAGATGGAAATCCAAGATTTTCATTCCTGACATAATTCTCCCAGATCAAACTATGGACATGCAAGCTAATTTACAATGCCAAATGTTGATCTTTGTAACCATAAGTTAAATTGTATAAACATGTAAATTGAAAAGAAAAACAGCACAGTTCCTCCAGCTTCAAAGCTCCAATAAACACCAGTTTATGCTTCCTGGTATTAGATGCAGAACATTCGAGTGAAAACAGCTTTTTAAAAGAATGAGACCAATTATGTTAACATCACCAGGAAAGTTGTCTGGTGTGTTGCCAATACCAAAGGTATTTTTCATTTTGTGTACCATCTTGGATAACTCACCGGGTCTACTGTTGGTTCTGCGACAGCCTTCTTGTCTTCATCCTCTTCATCAGATGTGTACTCCTCAAGGACACCATCGCTGAAGTGGATAACCCTCTTGGGCTTCCTAATGCCCACGGTGATATTATCCGGGGCTGTGGCTGGCGTCTTGGCCTATATACACAACGATTTGAAACAAATGTCATTGGATCCATGAGCTGAAACCAGTTACTAAAAAAACAACATCCACACACGTTAGATTTCGGTTCCATTTAATCAGCATCATCTTACCAATAATTGATTTCAAAACCAACATTTCTCTGTTTCTCAGCAGTCTAAGGTCTTTAAGAGGCTTGAGACTATCAGTGGATTCAATGGTTAAAATTCAAAGTTTTACAGAAGAGTACATGTACTGTTCAGTTTTTTGTTCTACACTGCTGAGTGTCTGCATGGTTGTAAATTTGGAAAATGTGCAACTTGTTTCATTTACCTTTTCATGACAATACGTTTCTGTCTGTGTAATTTGCAATACTCATCACTTGTTTTATTAGAAAAAGAGTACTGTTCCTTGGAGACATAGAAGTGTCGAGTAGCAGGTAGGAAAGGAACTGAGTAACCTAAAAAATGGGTATCCAGGTACCCATTTACTGTTCTAAAATTCCAGGAAAACAGCAACATAAAAGAAGCCCTCAATTTACATGTAATTCACCCAACCCTACCGTACCTTTAGGCACCAAAAATGGTTCTAAAAATAAAAGAACTGGAGTGCCAATACTTGCTTGTCACAGCAAATGAACGTACTGGAGTTTAATAATACTGTAGTTAAACATTTAACAAAATTTCATACAAGATACCGGTAGACCAATCGTGCAGAGTGACTGGCAATCATGCAGATCAGCTGACCTAGTAATCCCCCCCCCCCCAGACTCTTGGGTTCGTAGTCTGGGAGGGCACCGGATAATGAATCCCAGAATTCTGGGGGTATTGACCAAGCATGCTGAGCCAAACATACATGTATAGTTGGGTAAAATCGATCAGTTGATCTTAAACATGATTTGTGGACAGGGCCTAATTCTGCAATCACCAACTTACCTCTTCTTTAAATACACAGTTGTGACAGGCTATTTTAACCCCAACCGTCTACGCTCTTCAGAGGATACACCCTCAATCCTTCAAAATCCTCCCACTGCCCTCATGACAAAATGGGGTACAGCCTCAATCTTCCAAAATCCTTTGATATTTCTCCAATGTTTCATGGAGGGGTACCCACTGCCTCAATCCTTCAAAATCCTCAGGCAATTCCTCTCATTTAGTTGAGGCAGCGTGAATGGTACCTTGGATCAGTATAAATCTGCTTGGAGGATTTTCAAGGCTTTGGGATGTTTAGGGTTAAAAAGGAAGTAAGGCTGGAGATTAACCCACTGCGCAAGGCAATGGGGCAATCGTGTAGATTGGTCAAGTGCATCCAACACATCTAGCCTGTTACATGTAGACATAACAACTGTTTTTCTTGAACTGTTATTATCTGTGAAGTCTTCCTGCAAACTTGCTTGGACCCTGCTAAATATTGGCTAACATCAGATCATGCAACCATGGATAGGATCCAAATTATTCATTACACATGTCGCACTTTTATCATTTGCCGAGCACAGAGGACGAAGAACCCCCAAGTCTTATGTTCTTAGGGGTAGCCTACAGTACTGCGTCAACACACAGTACATTAGACTACTCGGACCAGGCCTACCAATAACATTTTGAAGTTAAGGCAGGTATATTTACCCAGTGCTGGCAAATTTATACTAAACGTTTTTCAACTTTTTGGGACTTACAATTTCTTACTGTGACTAACCTTAGTCTGGTTCTGTGATAACACAGTCATTGTACCTTTGTATTTACGAGGTAGGAATAAGACTATTTTACAATTTCGGGCTTATCAGTTAAAAATGAAAATTCTCCAAAAAAGAAAATGCAAAACTCTGTAATTAATTGTTAAAGTCAGTTTAAAGTAAACAAGAGAAGAAAATTCTTAATTTTTGGGACAAACAAAAGGGCTGATCACTGGGAACTGAACTCAGCTGGGAGGGTGTCGTGATATCAAGATGCGCTTGCTATCTACCCCCAGAACTGTGGGGTCCATTGTTCGCCATGCTTCCATTTGTAAAGTGTGATGGATGACAGACTCCATATTTCTGGGGGTATGTGCTATCCACTAGACCACAGACCTTACTCGAATTTTGAGGTAATTTAATAACCTTTATTAGCCTACTAGCTGGCTAAATACCTTTTAAATAATTTTTGCTGGCGATGGCTAAATATACATATATGGTGTGTCGGTCACTTCACCCAGTTTCCATGTCGCCCAATGTCACTCCACCCCAAGTAACTTTGCCCCATCTCCACATCACTCCATTTCTGCTTCACACCAGCCATGTTTGACTGTAATTGGAAACTTTAGAATTCATTCAAAATCCATTCAATCTAACGGGCTCGCTCTCACAGTCGCCATCTTTAAAATAAGGTCGTTGAACATTACGTCACTTGATCCCTCATCGTTTCTACAGCTCTTCCATGTCAAGACATCTAAACTGCTGCCAAAGTTTTGGAGGAGCCTATATTGGTACATGTAGTATTTTATCGCTCAGTCCGTGTATTACACATGTCTTGACACGGAACAGTCTTCGAGACTGTCACGGCTGATCGGGTTCTCTCCCCCGATCGGGTGTGGCTAAGGATGGAGCGGGAGTGAGAGTCCGTGCCACACTAGTGGGGCTAGCCAGTATTGTGAAACGCCTGTAACAAAAGGTCCAACAATCGTGGTCATTCAAAAAACATGCCCACATGTACGTACCACTTCCTCTTCGTGAAGAAGAATACTAGCAGTCGCACTCGAAGTCGTCTGTGAAAGCGCCGATTCCTCCATGTTGGAAACTCAACAACACAACTGCGTACGTTAAACTCACTGATCTCCAGGGGAAATTCCTTCAAAAACACACGATGAAATCATTTCCAATTTTGATGCGTTGTTGTCTCACAGTAGACTGGTGCCAATGCCCTTTACGTTAAATTGTAATACAATGTACTACTAGCAACTAGTGTGCTTTGCATCTATGGAGCGCAAATGATTAAAAGAATCGTAATCACAAACTAAGACCATCCGCTGAAGGGTTCACAGTACGTAGGAACCACAGAAATTGCTTATTATTGTTTTGTGTTCAGACTGCTTAAGGAGAAGAAATCGGGTTCTAAAACTTATAATTTGGTAAAAGTGCAAAGTGGCTATGAACAGGAAAAGCAAAATTCAGCTTCACCGTACATCAAAGCTTTGTTCTAAAAACTTTTAAAACAAACAGAAAAGATTGTTTCGTAGAAACAGATAGGGGCGGCAATTTGTTGAAAAAAAATTGTTTCATTTTGGGGCAGAATACTACGACTGAAATTGTGTCTGTAATCTATCTGTATCTGTACGTTGCAGACACCAATTCTGGCATTGACGCAACGGAGACAGGGGGTATATATTGGATGTTACTATGGAGAGCGAGGCTCGTGACCAAGATTTTTTAACTTTCCAACCGAATGTGCTTGACCAAAATTCTCGTCGAGGTGGTTCAAGTCAATGATTGATTTATTGTGTTGATATTATTGTGCTCTTTGTTCAACCGTGCCCTTGTATAGAAACATCAGGCGTAATTGTTAACGTCTGAAGAGTTTGTATCTTTAGAATTTGCAGCATCTTGGTGACTGATCCTGTATGCCGAAATATAGTCACTTGTGATAAAGCGGCGGGCAACTCAGTGTTGGATGCACTTTAGCTGCAATGAAGTTTCATTGTACACAATTTTTCTGCACCTTTTTACTCTTCTTCGTTGTTTCAAAACTCTTTTACACTACTATGTAGTTAGATACACTGAAGAGTGCATGTTTTTAAACAATTAAAATTATCCATGGGACTGAGGGCGCTGTTGCTGTGACACCATCTAGGGACTTAGACATAGTTCAGTGGATAGTGTTTCTGTTCAAATTGTGAACCCAGAATTTACCTACTGAAAACATCTCTGAAAGAGGGATTGACATTTTCTTGTTGATATGCACATGAACAATAATAGCAAAGAAGCAAATAGCAAAGAAGGGAAAACTGAGTCCAGGAAAAGCTACAAAAATGCAGGACTTTTGTGTACAAACCAATGTAACATTGAGGCTTCTTCCTGAGATGAAATCACAGTTTTGCTCATGAATATGGAAATTCATTAGCATAAAAGCCCAAAAGGCGTTAAAATACCCCTTGAAATAATGAAACAGCGGTTGAAAACAATGTGAGCTGAGGCACTAGAAAGGTGCATTTTAGAAGTTTGTAATTACAAAACCTATTGCAGCCACCCTTTAAGACGGTTGGTGATATTCAAGGCTGATCTCACCAAGGCCATCTAGGCTGACCGTTTGCAATTTTGAGGACAGTTTTTGAGATTCCTCCTTACGAATCCTAGCGTGATGATTGGCTCTACTGGTTATGTTAGATACACGTAGAATCCATTTGAGATCTTCTGAGATGTATATACCCAGGTAGCGGATGTTGCACTTGCTGTAGACTATAGAAATGTGTTGATTTGTTTCGAATACTCAGTACATGTATATTACATTTATTGGCGTAGAAGCTCATTCCCCACTGGTGAGCCCGGATTATCTTAGTCTTGCTGTAGGGTGATGTGGTCATTGCTTGAGTTGATTTGGCAGTACAGGAGGCACTCATCTGCAAAGAGACGAACTTGGACGTAACGCTGTGTGGGAGGTCGTTTTTGTGGCACAGGAAGAGCAACGGCCCCAACACCGTTCCTTGAGCCTTGAGGGACTCCGGAGCCAGCGGTTACTTCTTTGAGGGACTCCGGTGCCAACGGATACATCTTGAGGGACTTCTTGACGTTAAAATCTGAAGTGGAAAATATAACTTTACCCGGCGGCCAGTACCCTTTCCAAGTGAGCTCAAGTTTTGGATACCTGCTGATCCTTCCTCCATGATATGTGCCAGCCAATGTCCAGCCCCAGCCTGTCATGTCAAGATCTTTCGATCTTTTCTGTTATAACACCAAATGCCCTTCATTATATTTCTTCCCATGGGGGCTTGCTTCTGTTGGTTATTTTATTGTGCTTCCCATGAACCTTACTTTTAGTGGCGAAAGGGACACCACAAAAAAAACAAGCTGCAGCTGTGTAGCCACATAAACCAAACGAAGATTATTCCCAGATTTCAAAGGGGGCGGAGGGGGGGAATCCGGGGATGTCACCGCAAGGACTGCGTTGGGTCACATGCCCCTTGTAATTACGCTACTGCTTACAATAGGTATTCCTCTATAACGTATGATCCAGGGCATGCTCCAGACGGCGCAGGTTTTGCCCATATGCTGATAATGTTCCTTAACTCCATGGTCCCACTCACTCACGAAGGTGCACATGCGCAGATATTGGAACAAAATCTTAACGCGGTATTAATTGCAGCCCACCGTGAATATCATGTTGTCTTCTATGAAACTGTTGTCCCTTATGACCAACTAATATTTATCTCAGGTTTGCTTGCATCTCGAATAAATCTTTCGCCTTTTACTAAAGATTTCCGTGCAGGTGAGCCCCAATGAGTCGCAAACAATTTTTCCTGGCCAAGTGAGAGCTTTGGCCTCATTTTCCAAATATAAAAGATAGACTTGAAGCGATACTGAAGCCTGTATTACTGAAATGACACCTTGTCTCACATTCCATACGGGTTACAAGTGTATAGAAAATTCTGATGTGGGTTGTCTCATGTCGACTACCGCTCATAAATGAATGTTAAGACGGTAGCCTTCGTCTCGTTGGAAGGTGGCCCTATGCGTAGTTGAATAGAATGTCCGTGCTGATTGATGGGAAAATTTTAACCCTTTGCTACGCCCGTGCTTTGTTTCTATTCGTAGCAGAAAACAGCTCTTCTCGATTACGCTGCTTGCCTAGCAGTATCAACAACTTAGCGCCCTCTTATGACTCACGTAACACCTGTTAAACTTAAAGACATTTTAAATAATTATGATTCAGTGTTCCATACTTCTTGCAGTAGATTTCACAATAAACTTGAAATCAAGTCCCAGGCCTACGTGAGTTTTGCGATGCTCTTATAAAACGTAGACCTCATCTGTTCGGTATGAACCATTTTGGATAAATATGGGATCCGTATGAAGTCTATTTTTTTTTTTGCGATTCTGTCGGTTGCGAATATTTTTGCAAGACAAAAAAGGAATCGAATACATTAACACCTGCAAAAGGAGTAGTGAATTCTTATGGAATAATCGACTAGGCCTATATGTTATTAGGAAAAATAAAAAAGGTCGATTTTGAGTTCCACTATTAGTAGTTGTCAGCTGAAGTTGCAAACGTAAAACTGAAATATTGAACGTCGTCGCGCTAGCTTGTCGTGGTCCGGTCCTGCTGCGGTTGGAAAACAAAATTGGTAGCTTTGCGTCATAGCCTCTGAAATCTCCATAAAAACTATACAATCAGAGCCGATCCTGTCTGCCTGCAAAAGTGAGTAGGCCTGCAATCGCTGTAGTTAAAATTCTATTCCTTTTTACACGGAATACTACCTATCAATATCATGCCTACTGCGATGAGTATGACTGCTACAGTGCAAGGAAGGCGCAGGCCTAGGCCATGCACGACTACCCAGTGGTTACCATAATTTGCGCACTGACTTTAGTAGGCCTACTTGGAGCAAAATTTGTTCTCTCAAGTAAAGTAAATTTTTTTATGGCTTCCTTGTCGCTAGTTGAAAAGTTGGACTGAAAATAAAATTCTAAATGGAATAATATTTTGAAGAACACTGGAGCGGATGTACATGTACTGTAATTTAATCAAAGTGACACTGACAGGAACACAGTCGAGGTCTGCAGATTAGTCGGATCAGTTGTACTTGTAAGTTGTAGCATAGAGAAAGGTTGTAGTCACATGGTAGTAAAACTTCCGTCATCATAATTCGTGCCTGCACGCTTCAACCAGTGTTTTAGTTTTACAGGGTAGGCCTACCCGTAGGCCTTTTGCCCTACTTCAGAAAAACCTGACAGTTGGTGTCGCCTGAATTAGGAATAATTTTTATTGCTTTGATTTGGTGATACAGTTTGAGAAAACCATGAAAACACAACTGTCTCACCATGCTCACTGTATATTCACCATATCTTGACTTCCCACCACTTCCTCTTTCTCCTTCTCTTAGTTTAAAACTTTTTCGATTAAATTTCAAGTCACAGTGAGGCATACAGTTTGATTCTTTCAAATCAGTCATAATTGCCCTGAATTTTAGAAATTAATTTTGGTGAAGAAAACTCTTCTTTCTACGTGTATTTTTGAAAAAAGGTCACAAAAAACAGTGCAAAGATCCAGATTTCCATTGCCCGTCGGCAATGGAAATCTCACAATATCTCCATCATGTCATGGTCGTCCATGGATGTATGTCATTGCCATCGATAAAGGGATTTCATATTCATGAAAAAGGAAACAGTGTAATTTTAGATATTTGTTTCCCTTTAAAAAAATTATCCGGAGCCATGGGTCAGGAAAAGTTCTAAGGTAAAATATCCTGCAGTGAAATGTTGGATTTTATTTTATAATACAAGGATGATATACAATGTAAGGACTTCCGGGGGTAGAAACAATTATGACAATTGACTACATCATGTACACCATTTGATTAAACTTCCCTAATCACTGGGCTAAGTGTTCACTTGTTCAGTTTTTAATACATGGATTTGAACTGTATGAAGTTTCCGGTATATACGTGTACACTTCATTTTATTTTAAAGATTTGACTATTTCCATGTAAACCTTGTAATTTGCAAGCAAATGAAGCATATTGAGGGGGTATTTCATCCATGCAGTCGGTGCCATTCCAGAATTTATTGTCTTACTCAGGAACTAATGACAGTTCAGAGAACTTTTGGCACGCTTCATTGTGAATAATTATCCTTTCCCAGTTTTGGCCAATGGGGCAGACCACTGTGTGCACAGTTACATGTATACATGTACCTTGTAGATATGCCAAACTTTGGTTGAGAAACTCTTTTTTTGAGTAAAAGTACATGGGCAAGAAAAACCTAATGCCAAAAATGAAATAAGAGAAAATGAATCTCAGCTCAGTCAAGAAAAAATGATGTACATGGAGTAGATTGGAAGAAGAAATGAGGAGGGGAAGGAGCAAAACCAGTTGAGTTGAGCATAACGGTAGTCAACATCAGCACTACACAAAAACAGCAATTTTGTCAACTGATACATGTAGGCCTACATAAAACCCTTTTGAAACCTGGCAACAACAACCTAGATGCTTGTATCTCAGTTGTGGATGTGGGAGGGGGGCAGTTTCCCCCCTGGGGAAAAAATAACAAAGGACCAAAAAGAGATAAACATTGAAAAAATGAGAGTAATGAAAAGGAATGAAAATTACCAATTTGCTTAAAAAAAAAAAAGCAATCTTGCCCCCCCTCGTTGTTGCTGATGAGCACTCAATTCACTTCCACCCTGTAATTTTTCCTCCTGAAAAATAGTGCTTTGCCATCCCCTCCCCCAAAAGGTCCTGGCTACACCCATGATCTCACTTCTATATAATGCTGCTGCCAAGTGTACAGTAGGCTTGCTTCAAAAAAAAGTGTGATAATGAACAAAGTTTGGTCACAATTACTGTACAATCAGTACATTGTCAATACCGGTACCTTTAAAAAACATGAAGTGACAAAGATGATACTACCTTTTTGTCCAAGATTGCAGGGATAAACGTTTGAAATGTGCAGCTTTTGGGCGTATAGATCTATGCAGCTTCTTAATTGGAAGCTATGTTGTGTCTGTGGCATGTACCTGTGAACCGGTACATTGTAAGTTCTAAAGCAAAATTGACCTTCAATTAATTCCTATGATCCTGTCAGGAAAGTGAGTTTTACCAAATCAAAACCAGCCTTAGTTGGCTTTTTACTTTGATTATGATATGCCAGGTCTATATTGAATTCAACAGCATTTATTCTATGAAGACAAGCTCATATTGCATTGTTGCAGACAAACCAATTCATTACCTTAGTTGGTTTTTACATTTGCTGAGATGCCTGAGGCTCAAAGCATTAAGTCACCTCCATACCATGTGTCCTCTAGGGCTGAGTCAATTCGAATAATTCACTAATCGAATATTCGACCTTAAATTTGATCGAATATCCGAACATTCGGTCGTTCCAACCGGCAGAGTGTTAATGAACAAACTGTATACAAAATCAGTTGCAGTAACGCACACAATTGTACATTATGATCAATATAATAGATTCTCACATCTAGGAGTACATGTATCTTCAGCCAAGATTTAAGAGATGAATAATACTTCTTGTTCTTTTGTAAATTTCTATTCCTTTTAAATTGTTCAATGAATAATTTACTTTTTGAATCACTGTAAGATTTCTGTCGCTTTCCATTTGAATCTGCTTGAAACAAACCTCCAAATGCAATTTTCTCATTTAAAAAGGAAAGAAAGTTTTCCCTTTTCATGAATTTTGCATTCAAATATTCAAATTCGAAAAATGATATTCAAATATTTGATAATTGATCGAATATTCAGTTATTCGGATATTCGGCACAGCCTTTGTGTCCTCTAATACAATCCTCATACTGTCTGCAGACAGCTTGAATAACCTGTTTGTTGGATGATTGCCCAAGTCAGGGAGCATCCAAAATATGGTGAAGAAAAACTTGTCCACTAGTACATCAGACTTTTGTTTTGAAGACTACGGTAACTGAAATCTGAAGTACAGCATTCTTGAGTAATCTACACATACATGTACATGTACACTTTACATTGTACATGTACATTGTGTTTCATCAGCTGGAGCTGATGATTCAAAGTACATTTACATGTTGTATCTACATGTACATGTACATGCATCTCATGATGTAGCCTACCGTTTCTTTTGTACTCTCTTAAAATTGCCATTTGTATTATAAATATACATGTACTGTTGCTGACTTTGAAGGCTGTATACATGTACATGTGTACGTCTGTGAAGAGAAACTGGAAAGCTTTCCAATCTTTACTTCCATCTAGCAAAGAATGTTCTTCTGTTCTTTGGGAAAAATGGACTCAATATGATGCTCAGTTGTGAACATTTTTATTTCACTCCTTCCAAAATTTCAAATGTTAAACTGTCTACATCCCAAATTCATGTTTTCATTCTCCATAGCGGTACTTGCCACATTTTATTCAAAATACACATGTACGCTGTAATTGTAAGAACTAACATTGAGTAAATAGCATGTATCTACATAAATGATAAACTTACCAATCCATTATAAATTTGTAATAAACTCTTTCAGGGATTACCTATTCTCTGTTTGCAACTTTGTATCAGTTATTGAAACCCAAACCCCCTAGAAACCATTTAAATCATGCACATATGCTTGTTGGATTCAGAATAGTTAGGGTTAATATGGTCTGCAGTAAAAAGACACAGAGTGTTTCAACACATGTTGTCTGCATGCATGTCTACACATGAACATGTACCAGTACTAATACATGGCATGTGACCATGGGTTCAAGAGTAAGAACATATGACCCCCATGTGCTGGGCATGAACAGTGAGGCAGGGGACCTGCTGCACAGGTGCAGTCAATTTTCATTTAAAATAAGCTGAGACTGTCAACATTATGTCTTTGTTGTTTGAGGTTTGCCCTACATTTCAAAGGCAGATCTTTGAGTAGAAAGTGTGCGCGGTAGACAGATGACTTCAACAAAGAGACAGATCAATTTTTAATTTTAGAGTGGAAAGCCCCCAATATGTTGCCCTGTCATGCACAGCTGCAGTAGAGTGCTAATTTATCACTGAAACATTTCAACTCACTACAATATACACGTGTAAGTACAAATATTAATGTGGGTTTCTTTGCTTTTAAATCACTTTGAACTTGTTGCAGGTACATGTACATGTACACGTATTTTAAATAGTATTTTCCCACTCATCAGCAGTCTGTCATGACTCAAATCACACTGTGTACATGTAGTGTGTCAGATGATGATGCATATGTACGTGCACATGTTTTAGTTCATGGGTCTTGTGTGGCATTATCAGCTGTGCTGGTCATGCTGGATAGTGTATACACCTGTACATGTACAGGTGCATGAACGTACCTGCATAAGTGCATACTGCATAATGAGAATATGGGGACATGTACATGTCTATGCACAAAGTTAAGGATGCATTGGAGCTGTTTTCAATATAATTTTTTGTTTGGACAGTTTTCAAACACTTGTCAATATCACTGAAGTTTCCTTTCTGAGTAATGCTTTCTACCACAAATTCATCAGTGATAATGCATTCCTGAACTATTTGCATCTTTGTACATGTATTTATTTTGTTGTTGGCATCAGTTTTTAATACATAGAATGTAACCGTTTGTTGATTTGATACGATTTTAATGCTTTTATCCAGCTTGTGTTGTCTTAAGACAACTTTTAAAACTTAAGAGTGATTTGCTGTCCTAAATGTACATTGTATTGTTATGTGAGCAATACACTTTCACGAACCTTTCGTATTGTAAACTTCTGTTTAAAATTCAATTNCTGAGATAATAAGCTGAGACTGTCAACATTATGTCTTTGTAGTTTGAGGTTTGCCCTACATTTCAAAGGCAGATCTTTGAGTAGAAAGTGTCCGCGGTAGACAGATGACTTCAACAAAGAGACAGATCAATTTTTAATGTTAGAGTGGAAAGCCCCCAATATGTTGCCCTGTCATGCACAGCTGCAGTAGAGTGCTAATTTATCACTGAAACATTTCAACTCACTGCAATATACACGTGTAAGTACAAATATTAATGTGGGTTTCTTTGCTTTTAAATCACTTTGAACTTGTTGCAGGTACATGTACATGTACACATATTTTAAATAGTATTTTCCCACTCATCAGCAGTCTGTCATGACTCAAATCACACTGTGTACATGATGTAGTGTGTCAGATGATGATGCATATGTACGTGCACATGTTTTAGTTCATGGGTCTTGTGTGGCATTATCAGCTGTGCTGGTCATGCTGGATAGTGTATACACCTGTACATGTACAGGTGCATGAACGTACCTGCATAAGTGCATACTGCATAATGAGAATATGGGGACATGCATTGGAGCTGTTTTCAATATAATTTTTTGTTTGGACAGTTTTCAAACACTTGTCAATATCACTGAAGTTTCCTTTCTGAGTAATGCTTTCTACCACAAATTCATCAGTGATAATGCATTCCTGAACTATTTGCATCTTTGTACATGTATGTATTTTGTTGTTGGCATCAGTTTTTAATACATAGAATGTAACCGTTTGTTGATTTGATACGATTTTAATGCTTTTATCCAGCTTGTGTTGTCTTAAGACAACTTTTAAAACTTAAGAGTGATTTGCTGTCCTAAATGTACATTGTATTGTTATGTGAGCAATACACTTTCACGAACCTTTCGTATTGTAAACTTCTGTTTAAAATTCAACAAGACGGCTCAGTTAAGTTTATGGCAATTTGATTAAATCATGGCTTAAAATGATTAGATCATCTAAATGTACATATGTATTGTCAGGTTAAAGATAACAGATACAATTTTCATTTTCAGCATTAGCTGGTGGAATGCGTACGGTTTGCTGACAGTCTGGGTTCATTTAAGTACATGTATATGTCACCAATGGCTCGGATCCTGGGCTTGTACACACTGCTTCTCATCCTCACGGTCAGCTTGGCAGCATGGTTGCTGGCCTACACCTTGGATCATTTCACCCTCCCACCACCTTATGATGGACCGCCACACCCACTGGGGGACGTGGCTCCTTACCCTGGAGATAAATTAGAAAATCTCTGGTGGTTCATTCACGTGAGTACCCTTGTCTGTCTAGACAACAAGGAAAAAATAGTTATGCTTTCCAGTTTCCCTACCAGTTCATAGTTCATACCCTATTTGGACCGTGTGACCTAAAGTTTTGGGGCAAAAATGTGAGGAAAATATGAAATTGGAAACTAAAGGACGATGAAGTATCTGTTTCAGTTTGGATTTGTTGTAAAAAGATTTTACAGGCTTGTTTATCCTTTCATTTGAAATAAAGCCACCTTACTTCTGTTGCTGTTATTATTTTAACTACTTGACACTTAGCTTGACACTGAATCGGTATTGAAAAAAAAGTGAACAAAAATTTGTTCCTACCCATCTACCCAGTCTTCAGATGCCGTGTAATGGGTAGCAGAACTGTTGTTGTTGTTTTTGCCTTATTGTCATCATTTGTTGCCACCTTTGTCTTCTTTTCCTGTTGTACTTCAGTAACTTGCACAGCGTGCTTTATTCCGGATTTGTTTACAACATTGTTTACATAGGAACTGTTAGTTTTTATTGATGTGTTAAATTTCACATTTTCCACTGTTGAGTAACTTTTTCAGTGCCCTCTAAAAGTTTGAAAAATAATGAAGACGACACACCTTTTGCAACAAATCTGCGTGCTTTTTACACCTTGTGTACCTCGGATTGTTTGCCCTCCCAGTTGATGTCCATCTATTTCACACCCTACGTATTTTGATAGGTATCAGATATACATATATCACGCTTCAGGGATCCCCAGAGAACTACAGATTTCAACAAGTTCTGCATTGAAAATGTGGAAGCTATCAAGCCGGAGCTAGTGCTAGCAACAGGTGAGTTAACCAAGGATCTGTTGTATTCTTTTGCACATTTTGGATACGATATTGTGCTGTAGCTGTTTTGAGATTCATTCACATGGGGCTCTGCTCCAATACATGTACAGTAGATTAATAAATTTCTCTTACCATCAATTTGGTTAAAACTTCTGTGAATTTTTCTTCCTTTCCGTATTACCACCGTCCTTCTTGCATGATGCTGCCCTCCTTTTTTTGACAATCATTGTTGCATTTCAGTGTAAAGTTTATGAGGATTTTTTAAGTCAAGTGTCTTGGTTTTTTTTCTTGGTTATTCCCAAATACCCTAGGCTCTACAGAGCCTCAGTTCATGTACATGAACTATGTGTTCATCTAGATGAATCACACTGACTGTTGGCGCCGACTCTCAAAATGAGTCATGTTTTACCTGCTTAAATCCCATTCAAAGGACCAGACTGCAGATTGTTGGATAAATAAAACCTTTCAACCGTACATGATACCACTGACATTTACATGCATGTACATTCTAATTTGTGTCATCAATTTACCTGTACTGGACCCTACCTGTATGTACCATTCGTCATTTCAGGATACATGTATGGTATTGGTACATGTACTGTACATGTACAACTGTTTGTCAGGAATTGAGGCATGAAACCCAAGTTAAAAAATAATTTTTGTGATGAGAAGACCACAGATTGTGTTTGTGTGTGGCCTGTGGGCAGGCGTCTTCAAAGATCCACTGTTTATTAGATTGCACAGTAAAAGTGAATGGATTTTCACATTATAATAATTAATGCCAATTAAATTCAATGTTGATAAATTATACGTGTAAATTTCAACCCAAAGAAATCGCATTGTTACTGTGGAGACATGTTTTTTTTAGGTTTTACTCTATTAAACCCCCAAATTTGAAGCTAATCCACTGAAATACGTGTAACTGTTCACCTACCCGTACATGCATCTGCTTTCAATGTGTATGTACCAATGTAGTTGGGTTTTTTTTCAATGCTTGTGGAATAAAGAAGACAGTAATACCTCCTGACTCGGAAGTAAAAGGCAGCATAACAACGAGGATTCCCTTAAATTTTGGTGTTTTTTTTCTTTCGGGGAGGGGGATTTGGTTTGTTTTTTATTTTCAATGATTTCATTAGGTTCACAAAATGGAGATAAAAATACACTGTATGTACATGAACATCTGACAGATTGGCAACAGTTAGTGTGGAGTTTGAGTTTGAGCTCTTGAAGTCATTGTTCAGAATTTCACAATTGATCATGGTACAGGTAGCTCTTCAACAGTTGTTTCGTTTATAATGCCATGTGCTCACTGCTGATAGGATAATGAGGTCATGTACCATTGTATTCAGGAAAGTCAACCCTGCTTATAGACACAGTTGGTGACCCTTCAATCCTGCTTCTTTGACAAGGCATTGTTGCTGATTTGTACACATGGAGATAATATAGGTAGTTCAGTGAACTTATTTTACCGAACACAGCGCATGCATGTATGTCATGATGTAATGCCTCTGCACTGAGGTACATGTACAATGATGCAAGCTCCAATTCTGAATATTGTGTGCCACGCTGGACTTCCCTGTGATTGGATGATGCAATGTGTCCTGGTCTTTGCTCATAACCTTATTCTGTGCTGCGCTGGATTGAGAGAAAAAATATGTGACTGCAAAAATCAAGTGCAAGTTGAGTGCATTTACATGTGTGCCTTGCTGCGTTCTGCATACCTCTTTGTATAAATTGTGAACCTGTTTGGACAATTCTCATCCTATGTACTGTGCTTCAGTTTGGCAATACATGGTGCAGCTAATGGTGCATACATTGTGCATAAAACATGTAAAGGATCTGCATATGCAGGTGGAACTCACCTGCACATGATACTGACAATTACCCCATGGGATTTTCCCCACACTACTGTCCTGTCACTCATAATCTACTGCCCTTTGTACCAGGAAAAAGGGAGAGGTTAGTCACAAATTCAAATCAAGTTAAAAAAAAAATTACCCTTCCATTCAAATTTGGTTGTGTTGCATGTGTTTCCTGATTATTAAAGTACATGTACATTTCCCAAGAAAGAAAAACTGTGAATAAATATGCATTATTATACTTTTTATGGTTATTCTATTTGTGATGAATTGTGTGAAGATTTGGGCTTTGTACATATGTTTATGACAAGGGCAGGTTGTTGAAACCAATTTGTCACAGAATTAGAAAAGGTCATGGAACAATTTTAGCAACATTTTATTTTTTCTTCAATTTTTTCAGTTCAGTCAGGCTTAAAGTTCTGACTTGAACTGTATTCTGTATAAGTATACAGTACAGTGTTGTACATGTAGCTAGGGGATGCAGAGTGGAGGAAATTTAAGAACAAAACTGGGATGCTGATTGAAGCAAAGGAAGGAGTGTAAAAATAGATCATGATATTAGGGCTACACTAAGATCGTGAAACTGGATGATAAATGCTTGGAATAGTATGTAACAAAAGTATTCCCAAGTTGACTATTATCTTTAATGCGAGTGCCTTCAGAGCTTGCGTTGTAAGTTAACCTCAATAGGGCAAATGCTCTATTTCAATGAAAAAAAAAACAAACTCTGGTTATGCACCTGCCGTCATTTTCATGATAGTGATACCTACTGCTTTCTATTGCAGGCGATCTTACCGATGCCAAAACGCTAGATAACATGGGCTCCAAGCAGTACGAGGTAGAATGGCAAAGTTACAAAAATGCCCTGGATCATGCCCATGTGACAGAGAAGACTATCTGGATAGATGTCAGAGGAAACCATGGTAATGAAGAACCGTCATTTGTTTTCTGATCACATTTTCTAAGAATAAGGAGGTGCACATTCAGAAGGAATTCATTTCCAAGCTTCCAGGCCCTTTCTAATTTGAAAATCAACGGTAGGCTTTGGCCTTTGAATTCCCGGTTTTGGCCAGTCAAATGAAATTAGTCAAATTGTGCAGGCAACTGCATCAAACAGTCAGGTGCTCGTGTCAAAGAAGGTTGACTTATTATAAGATTGTCGTGTACAGATACCATAAAACATACTCAGCCAAATTTTGTCACCACACCAGCGAAAATGCCTTTTAAAAATTGGCCTTTGAAGCCCCTTTTTGACATCTCCATTCTTCTCATGACTGTCAATAAACTTAAGCTGTGGAAGGAAAGATCAGAGACAAGGTTTGTATTCAAATTTACTCGATGTAAAAGGGGAAAAGAATTTTTATGGCATGTATCTTTTAATGCTTGATACACAGAACAGAATCTGTTGAGTTGCGTACATACATGTACATAATATTTGAGGACTGTTGTGGAAATATATATAGATATACATGTACTTGTGTGATGGGGTGGTTAAGGCATTTATCTTTGATGTCAGAGAAGGGCCAGCATTGCTAAAGCAGCTTATTCCGCATGATGACCCTTGGCACGCAGTCAAGTCGGGTTGAGAACCAATGCATGCACACATAATCAACCACCTTGAGCATAGCTTATCAGAGTTCTGGGACTGAAGCATTGTCATGTGACATGCTATACCAACTAAACCAGTGCAGTGTCAAAAGAAGGAAGACTGTCTTTCCAGAAACTGCATACTGCACTAATCTGAACCTAAACAGTCAGAACTGTCATGGTCAGTGACAGTCTTGCTTAGTGGAAATCATGTAAAATTTGTAAATGGTTGTTTCCTTCAATACACAGATGCATTTGGGGTTCCAAGTGCCAACCACAGGTTGAATTATTACAGGTAATACTCTGTATATTTTAAGATCTAGTTTATTTGTAAATATCTAAAGATTATTTCAGATTTTGAAAGTCAAACTACGTGTATTGTGCCTGTAGATTGCAGATGATTCTTGTGATTCCTTTATCCAAACAACCCTGTCTTAATTGACCTTAATCCCAAATTGACCTTAAGCCCAAATTGACCTTAAGCCCAAATTGACCTTAAGCCCAAATTCTCCTTAATCCTAAATTCTCCTTAATCCCAAATTCACCTTAATCCCAAATCCACCCTAATCATAAAACTATCACTGATTTTCATATAATTTTGATAGCTTCAACGGGTACTATTATTTTTTACAGTGCATAAATCATACTTCAGTTTTAAGTAGTACTTCTAGTTTAAAAGTGGGTTATTTTGAACATTGATGTTTACAGTTTGGGAAAGGTTAGGGTTAAGGGTCTCACACCTTGTCAAATCCAAACCAAATCATTTACATGTATTTCTTAATTCAAGAAACAAGATTATTGCTGCTCTTGAAAATTTATCATACTTTTCCTTGTCCTATAAACCTTTCCAACCCTGCATTACTACAGTGCAATGCTAAATAGATATTTCCTTTCATCTGAATTAGGAAATACTCTGTAATGGGGGAGAGGGGGGATGGTACCTTCCGTTATCAACACAAGCTTCCCTTTGGTGTCTACTCCTTCGTGTCTGTGTATGCTGTGTTAAATCCAGGGCCGAGAAGGCCATTCAATTTCTTCGGAATACTGTATGAGGTAAGTAAAAGAAAAATATTTCACCTCCAATTTCAAAAAAGATGGAAATTAATCAAACTCCAAATATTCTGATTCATAAGTGTCAATTTCACACACCCGCTTCAAAGTTCTGATGACATTTTATTTTGGTCCAATTTTCTGATTTTTACCCAAAGTGCAAAATGAAATGCCCCCAACTTTTTTTTTTACAATTTTTACTTAGGTGAGTGGAGGTAATAATGATTTACTAGACTTTATCACTTTGTTGAACTTCTGAATTTTTGTGTGGGATTTTCTGAGATTTTTTTTTATAATAATGTTCATATCATTCGCTCATCACCCAATGCCCAATTCAACCTACTGGGTGAAGAGCAAACTCATATACCAGGCCAATCAAAGATATGCAGTGAACTTAAAAACTGAAGTAGGGGGTCTATACAAGTCTTACATGCATCCGTCAGTTCACGACAAACATGGAACTTGTTGATGTGTTCCAAAGCACACTAAGATAGGCCTTTGTATAAAAATATGTGTTCGCAGTGTCAAAAGTTCCACTTTCGGGTTTGACAAACCCCCCCAGTCTCTGGTCAGGCAACAGGCCTGTTTTGTAAGTTCACACAAACATTCTATAATTTCCAAGAGTGATGAATTAGTGCAAATTATCTGCCAAAGAAATAGAAATAGTTTGAAATCTTTTTCAGTGATATTTCCTGTGTAAAAGGACACAGGTCAGGTGTAACAGGGACACAAAAAGGTCACACTTTTGGACCCCAAATTTATGGAATGACCCACATGTACAAATTGTACATTCACACGTATGGGATTTTAAGGTAGCTCGTCAGGTAAACAAGGTAGTTAAAATCATGTAACCTCACAGTGTTATCTGTCCTTCATAAAACTCTCAACTGAGTCATATTGCACGTCTGGTAGCCGTAATTAAATACATGTCATATTGCATGCCCAAAATGTTGGCAGGTAATTAGTCATGCTTGTTTGCCTACTAGTTCCAGTAGTGGCCTATTGGTAAGCAAACAATGTGTTAATTTCCATTCTGGCAAGCTTTAATATTCTGTTGGTGAGTCCAACAATATTCAGCAGCCACTGCAGAGGCAAAACCTCCTGATTCCAACAGGATCCAGCCGTCAGAACGAATGTGTATGTTTTCATCACTACACAGATCACCTAAATGCAGATTTTTTTTGGCTGTTTGAGTGTGTTTTGTGCAGGAGGGTTAATATGAAGGGAGCTGTGCATTTTGTTTCTAAATGTGGGCTTGAATTTATCATCTTTTTTTACAGCCGGAGTTGCAGAAACTGGAAGAATTCAGCAAGGATACAAAGCATAGCAATCATACTGTATACTTTGGACACTATCCCACATCAACCATTATAGCACCTCACACCAGACTTTCAAATGCTCTAAAGTAAGCAGTTTATCCAGGAACTTTTTGAGAACCCATTTTGGTCCCTTTTAACATTCCATCCAGCCGCAATTTTTGCATTGTAAACACCCTCCCCCCCCAAAAAGTACATTTACATGTACATGTATGGAAGTATTATTAAACTTTCTTAATTCATTTGCCGACATTCCTTGCCTTTGCTCATGACCACCATACATGTAGCTTCAAAAGTCTGGTATTCTAAACAAAATCATACCAGTGCCTTTTTACTTGGGGGATTACACCACGTCAAAAACAGCCACCTGAAAGAAAAAAGACTCCCAGTAGGAGTGGAACCTGTACATGTATACGCAAATTGATAAATAAAAATCTGGTTTAGCTACGAACATGCATATGCTCGATTGGCTGGGGCTCCCCACGGCACATGTATTAGATGATCACCTGTTGATTGGTGCATTCAAGCAAACTGTTGAACGCACCGTGATCTCTCTTTGAAAATTTGCAGAAATGGAATAGCATATCTGTGCGGCCACTTGCACAGCTTTGGTGGTCTGGTGCCCAACATGAACACCATACAAAAGAATGGCCTGTTGGAATTAGAACTTGAAGATTGGAAGCAGAACAGAATGTAAGTGTTACGTTCCAGAACAAAGTTTTTTGTAAAATGTCGTAATTATTGATTGCTTTTCCTTGAAAATACATGTGTCCACATTTAGCGCAAGTTCTGTCTGGAAAAAGCAGTAAGGATTACATTTGTGTGATTTTTTGTCCCAAGGTATCGAGTCATGGCATTTGACCATGACATACTATCATTCGTGGACGTGAAGTTCGGCACATGGCCAGTCATTTTAATCACCAATCCCAAGCGAGCCAGGTTCATGTCGCTTGGCCATGAACCCTTGAACAAGATGCGGCACTCAACGCATATACGGTATGTCAGCATCTCCTTGTTGAACAGACATTAATCTTAATGTTCCTAGATCCTTTGAACCCCATCCAGAGGTCTCAGAAGATTTGGCAGAATTGAGGAAGGTGGCACACAGCTTGCTTTACATGGGGCTTCATGACCTCTCTCACCCTAACCCTCCTCAATCCTCCAAAATCCTTTGGGTGGTTTTGGAGGATTTTGGAGGATTGAGGGTGAATAGCAAAAGTGCATGGCCGATTGAGAAGGATGCCAATAGTGAAGGTCATAAGTTAGACCTTGTGTTGTTCTTGCTCAGTCATACGTGAATTCAGCCCCTATATTTGTTCTGAATCCACCACACTGTTCAAGAATGCCCTTCGCACTGCCTCACCACAATGAGAGTAATTGCCTGAGGAGTTGGAAGGATTGAGGCAGTACGCACACCCCCAAATAACATTTTCAAGAAATCTTGAAGGATTTTGGAGGATTGAGGCCGAATGCAGTTTGTTCATGTAGAAAATTGGATGATTTGGGAGGATTGAGGATGGTTCTAGGGGGTTAGGGTTAAGTTCAAGTACAAAGGTCGTGGGCGGAATTCATGTTGCCATACGGTAGTTGAATTTGGAGGAGTACAGGTCCTTAACTAAATTGTGCAAGGGTTAATGTTGATCCATGCCTTACTCTGCAATGATATTTTAACAAGTGGCATTTCCTTGTTCTAGTCTGGCTGTTGCCAGATCATTTGATCGTTATCTGATCATTTTTCCATCTCAATGGAAACTTGGTCTACATCTACAAGAGAGTTGTCGGGCCGAAAGAATATCCCTTAAATTTGGATGAAAAAAAAGAGAGTAAAGCTTTCTTGCTGACTTCCTTGAATTCACCAAGCTGTTGTCTCCTCCGTGCTAGGTTTTTAGTGTTCTCTCCAGCGGACATCCTGTCTGCCACAGTTGAGGTCGATGGTAGGCCGTTAGGAGCAGCCAAACATGTCAAAGGACCACTTTTTGTGATTCCATGGGACCCCTCAACATATAGCACTGGCTTGCACCTCATTGAAGTTACTGCAACAGTAAGTATATTGCAGCAAACAACACGGGCATATTAACCAGGCCCTCCTTTAAATATTTGATATTTTGAAGTTTATATGTTTCTTAAGTAGGCTTGGGGCACACGAGACAATTCAACACTGTACGAAGTGTCTGTCAGTGTCTGTACTTTGTTGTTTCAAACTTGTAGCCTTCTCAAGGAATTGCCTCTGAGACATGGACCCTTTCTCTCTTCAACCTTCAAGCTTTGCTTAATCATGTTTGCCCACAAAGTAGCAAAAAACTAAGTACTGCTGTGGAAAGTGGACCTTCCAGAATTGTTTATAACCTCTGCCTGAAAAGTGGATATTATTCACTGTCAAATCCCCTGAAAGACAATTTCCTGAACTGAAATCTCAGAAAGTGCTAAATTATATTGGCACTGGAAAACAAGTTTGGATTATCGCAAAAATGAGTGTCATCAATTTGAAACTGGTAACCATTCCTTGCATGTGCATTGTAGGATGCCGCTGGTCACACTCACATTGAGGCCTACCGCTTCTCTCTGGATGGCACTCAACCAGCACAGTGGTTGGTGTCAGCCATGTTTCTCATGACTGATATACCTTTTGTTGTAAGTATTTGGAGTCTGTGAACTTTTACACAACTTATTTAGTTTCATACCATTTTGAACTTTGAAAACCAAATCCAAACTCAAAATATTCAAATGGACAGAGATGTTTTAAATTCGGATTGTCGTAATATTTATTCCACTTTGGTTGTTAAGGATCTCCATTGATTACATCCATTTCACTTAATTAAAGGATCTGGGAAAGGAATTTTTCTTAGAATCACTTTTTGTGAATCTCTGTACTCTTTTTCCGTGTATGAAGACTGTTTGACATCTTTTTTGAGTTACGTGAAATGAATGGTGCACTTTTTCAGACGTTAAAGATTGACCGAGCATTTCTGGACAAGTGACGGCGCTTTTGCTTTGATGTAAATCCAGGAAGACATGGTTCAGGTTGCATGTTTTTATGTTCAAATTGCGAACCCCAGATTTGCTATCTGGGAACATTTATGTGGAAGTGATTTTTGCTGGGTTATTGCCATATACTTACACAACAATAAATTGCCAAAGAAAATAAAATCTGCCATAGCAGTGGTTAAAAAAATCTAGAAAGTTTCAGAGCACAAATCAGTGCAACGTTGAGATTCAACGCCTTGGATGACATCATAGTTCTGTTCATGAATATGCACATATGCATTAGCATAAAGGCCAAAAAAAGCGCCAAGATATGGGTTAAAATTGCAAAACAAAAATTTAAAATAATGTTAATTGAAACCCAAAGGATTTCAAGGATTTTTAGTAAAATTTATAAAAATATTTCTATTTCCTGTTTCTTTTAAGTGCTACTAAACTGCACAATGCTGTCAACTAAACATTTTAGGATCTTGTTTGCTGACGTTATGCTCCTGAGAGTTCCAATCCATGTAATGTCTGATACTGAACAGATACTGTATGCTTAGGATTTTGTTCAGTGGATTTGCACTAAAACAGGAAATCCAAATTTGAGAATTGTGTCCCTGATTGAAGCAGTCTATAAAGATGCCTTATCCGTTTTGTTCTCATTACACCAGTTCTGGCTGATAACGGTAGGGTCAGTATTGGTGTTTGTGTTTGCACTCCTCTCACTGCGATGGATCGCAAAACGAAATAATGGTGAGTTACTGGGCAAAGGAAGTATAAATTTGACGTCTGTCAGATGGAAAGTTTGTTTTGACAGTTTTGCTCTTTCATCAGCTTTTTGGTTTTAACTATGACTTTGCCCTTCACCAGTTTAATGTTATAAGTATCAAGTGCCCAGTGCCTTGTGGAACAACTTGTGGAAAGTAATTCACAGTCGTTACCTGGCAGGACCAAATTCAAATCTTCCATTATTTGATATCTTTTGCCACCCTCGATGTCAGTTTTTCGTTATAATTATCATCATAGCACTTAGGATAGGATTTCAGTCTTTTGCACATTTCTGTTGATGTTTAGACTGTTTTCTAATTTTTATTAAACTAATAACAGTAGTTTTATGAAAAGAATGTTGGGTATACCCAATTCTTTACACTGGTAAACTACAGTATTTCCCTGCATGTTGGCACAAAACATGGAACTTGCTCAAACAAGGCAGTCTCATTGATAGTGTTTCCAATTACTGTATGGCAGTGTTCGGTTTCTCGTGCTTTATAGTTAGAGTATTTTAAATGTAGTCACAGAATTCTTTTCAGTTAATAGTCTGACAAACCAAGTTAACATATGCTTTTTTGTCTCTCCAGTGCATTATCGGATTAGCATTGTTCGCAGTTTGTGTGGTCTTGTCTGCAGCGAGACCTACTTCTATTGGCTACTGATAATAGGTGTTTATCCTCTGGTCGGTAAGTGAACAGTTGCTGGTGGGTTTTGTAATGTATAACAAATCTTGGAAAAAATTAACATCTGAGCAGGGAATAATTTTTCCGGTATCATATCACATTTCGCGATGCATTTTAAGCCAAATTGCTGCACACTTTTTTTATGAATCGCAGTTGCTGAAACATGAAAATAAAAGTGTTCGTGGCCAAGAATAACAGTCAGCAATTTCACCTTCGATTTGTTGTTTTCCTCTTCACAAAAGCTTAGAAAAAGTGGTAAAAAGTAAACAGCTATGTGGTGCACAGTGATTTTTTTGCATCGTTACAAACATGTAGAGTACATGTACAAACTCGCATGCAGTAAGCACGCTGTACATTTAGCAGGGCACCTTTCCACACAAGGGAAAATGCGTACACAAATAAACTGTAAAATACCCTTGTGTTTGGGTACCAAGCCCATTGGTTATTGCATGCGCGCCACAGTGGAGCTACAGCCGGAAAGCGCAGCTCAAAGACTGTTTTGTGACTTCAACATGAGTGAATTTTTACCTGGTACATGTGGGTGTACTTTTTCATTATAAGACACCGGGCAAAATCGTTGAGAGGTTAAGAAATAGCCATTGCCCGAACGTGTAGGAATGATGCATCAGAGTTGGACGAGAGTCCTGCGCACGTTGGGTGATGTATATTCATGTTGTATCGTGGCGTAGCAATTTCATCAATGGTGATTGGTTGAAGGAAGGAACTTACTGTCCCTGCGATGTTTACAGGTGAGAGAGTGGCACTCTGCCAGGGTGCTTACTAAAACTCAGCTTAGATCAGCTTATCGATTAATTGTACCATTAAATTATCGATTAAAAGTATCGATTAATTGTACCATAGCACAGTCTGTGCAGGAAAGATTACTTACGTGAATAGGCCTTCAGCTGCTAATCAGTCTCAACTTTCACATTGATGACTAATGTGATGCACCCACCATAGAGCAAAGAACCGTATAGTTGATGTTGTAACTGTGTGCTGTAAATATGCACTGTGATTACGTGGAAAAAAATTGCTTTACAAGTTTATCCAACTGCTATGCAAAATTATTTTGTATAGCAGATTTGTTATGCCAAGTTTTTGCTGAAAATTATCCCCTGCTGAGTTTTGTGTAATGTAAGATGTTGAAAAAAATATAGTGGGCGGGACATAACGCCAAGAAATTCCAGTAATGAGTGTGTGCCATAAAGGTTTCCCTGATAATTCAGTGTTCTTTTGGAGGCAATTGCGAGTGATTTTTGTTTGGTCTTAAACCCTAAGGCCTTTTTTGTTGAAACCATCCAGTGGGTATACCAAAGGGACACTTGTCCCCTCCCCCGGCGGGGACAGAATGTGCAGAGAAAAGAACAAAATGCAAAAGAAATGGCAGAAAGAGTTGAACAGGGATAACAATCACCCATTTACTTGAAAAAAAAGAGTTGAAATTGACCTTCCTCTGTTTGTGGTTTATCAGTATGTTGCCGATGAATATCTCTCCCCGCCCCCCCGAAATCCTGGCGATGCCCAGCCCTGTGAACCGTGTGAAATCATCCAAGGCTAGTTAAAACCAATGAAGCATTTCTTTGTATGTCAACGTTTATGTGGCATGGATCCCTGGAAGGACAGTACTGACTTTGTTCTGCTTTCCTCAATCCATTATAGTCTATCATAACTTCCAGGCAGATTTTGGAGGATCTGGGAGATTAGGGATTTTCTGTTGAAATCAATTGAGGGTATGTCAGTTCTTTTCAGATGCTTTTTTTTTTTGCATTTTGGTCTTGCAGGTCCGTGGTTTGTTTGCATGGTAACAAGTGAGCATTTTGGCATGTACACTCTGTATGGATTCATGCTGCGAGGAGAAATCATTGGCGAGACATTCTCTTATGTCATCTGTGCCATGAATGTAAGTATCAATATCCACTGACTGTAATACATGTGACCTGTACTCAGTGGGCCTCAAGCTGGACCAAGAGAGGGCGCTATTTCCTTAGCAACTGGGACTCCTTTGGTAGCAACCGCGCACTGTTGGTTCACGAATGACTAGGAAACGCAAGCATTACAGCTGCATTGCTACCAACAAAATAAATACTTCAGACCAACGTGGCTCTTTTCAACCGATGAGGGAGTGCTTCTGCTCGAGGCAGACAGCATCTACCTCCCTGAGTCAGTTCAGGGTCAATTTCAGATCTTGATCCTGTCTTGAGTCATGTCAAGAGAGTGTACAAAAGAACTGTGACAAAAGATTCAGAGTTAGGGTACACTATCTGGAGTTTGTTATGGCATGCAGTTGAGCTTGATAACAGATCTTCAATGTACATTTTCCACTTGAGAATGTCCGAAGCAGGTAACATCTGACAAAGACTACAGTAAATTGCCAAAATGTTGTCATTGAAGTGACTGATGGCATTGTTTACCCATTGTAACATGTACTTCATAAACCAGGCTCCTGCCTTCATTTGTGATTTGGCTTGTCAATCACAGGATACAGCTAACATATATATGTCATTTCCCTGGCTCTTCTCTCACAGATGGCTCTCTTCCAGGGCCCCATCACGTTTTACTTTGCCCTCCAGTTGGACCGCATGCAGCAGCACTTACCCCATCAGAGCAGCGGCGCCTACTCAAACTCTGCCAACGGCAATGCTAAGAAGAATGGCAGCGCCATCAGCCCGCCACAGTACCATATACGACCCCTGGGGCTGCTATGGTCCCTGGTAGCCTACCCCTGTCTTCTCTGTGCCCTCCTCTGGATGACCTGGGAATGCACAAACCTGTATTTCTGCTATGGTGCTATGGCGCTGGTCCTGAGCCCAAAGTCCGCCTGGACTTTTGCGGTCGTCGTGTGGCTGCTGTACAGGCTGCACTGGATCGAGCTGCGCCAAACCAGCAAAGCCAATGGTTGCAAGAGTTGATCGGATCAGCTAGAATGCTTTTCACCCTTTGCTTCTTGGGATGTTTGTGTCCTGGCTTTGCCCATTTTGTGGTAGAGCAAGTTTTGGAAACTGTTGATGTGGGGTGTGCTAGAGATTGCCCCAACAGCAAACAGCATTACTGGGAAAGCAGCTTTCAAAATTCATCTTTTATGGTGTAGCTTTCCTGTGTGAGTGAGATGTCATTTATGACAGTCCCATCACAAGTAGACTAATCCTGTGACCAGAATTAGAAGTCGTTACTGCAGAGGTACCACACTTGTGGGCAGGTCACGTGCATAGTTTGTCCTGCGGACCAGTAAGTTGTCTTGATATGCCAAAATGTGCATGTTCCTCAAGCATGAAACGGGCTTGAGTATGGAGCCACTACAGTAATGACATCTTCTTCAATAAGTCTATAATGTACGGTAAAAAAAATTGTGCTATGTGCATGGTGTTAGTTTATATTCTGTGTATTTTTTTCTAACAAATTTATAAGTTTAATGTATTTCAAATTCTGTAGTTTAATTTCTTTTTCAGTTATTTTGGAAACTGTCATTGCTAAAGTCCCATGAAAATTGGGAATGAACCTATTGATATTTCAAAAAGGCAAGGTAATTCGAGAACAAAGCACAGGAGTTTGAACATGTTTTGCACCTGTGAGGAGGTGCAATTGATATCCGACACGCTATATTTGGACATGCTTTGTTGGAAGACTGACCTAGCTCATTCTGTGCCAATAATGAACTTGTAGAAACCGTATCTGTCTTCATTTTTTGCAGTAAATGGTTTGTCTGAAAGGTTTCTTAGAATTTTTTTTATTCATTTTTTTTTACCTGGAAATTACCTATTGCATGCCTACACGTTATTTTACATTATTTATAAGGAATAGAAGTTTTAGTGGACGAAATGGCAATTTGCTTTATTGAACAAAGGAAAATGTGGCATTGAACTACTTTTATTAGCAGTACATTGTATGTATTGAACATATAAAAGCATCTTAAAGTGATGAAAATTAAAAATTCAAAACTGTAACAATAACTCGGAGAAGATACGTTTAAGTTTTAAATTTGCAAGAAAAATTTGTTTCGGTTTTTCCAAAAAGTAGTTTGTGACATGCCGTCGTGCTTTGAATGTTTCCTGCAATATTTGTAACTAGGAATGGAAATTAATTCCATTTGAGAAATTTTAGGAGAAAAAAACACCTAATGTGAAAAGGAACAATGAATTTCCTTTTTTATAACAGCAGTATTGTATTACTTCACCCGGAAAGAGCCAGGTTTTTAAAAACTTCTTTCTGACCTTCCTTCTCCAGGGATGGGAGGAGAAAGCCACCCCAAGAACTCAGTCTTGATGCAGTTTTTTTAAAGATTGCAGCGGTGTTGGACAAAATGCACCGATGAAGACATAGTCTATCTCCCTACCCTTCCTCCCTAGTTCTCTTAGGTTCAAGCAGCCCTAATAAAGCTGTTTTGTCATTTGGAAGCCTGCCAGGTATGCAATCAACTCTGCTTTTTCAGATTTCTTGGAGTTGTTGAGAAGAATATGCTGCTAAACAAACTTGAAAGCTCAGGACATTACAGCAGGGAAAGGCAGAAGCAGGACTCGCGTATATTCTTACCTGTAAATTAGCTGTAAAATGAAAGAAGCCAAATACTGTGCTGCAGTGTGTACCTGAAATGGAAGGGTACCAGTTTAGAATACCGGTTGGTTGAATGCAGGGAAGTATTTGAAATTAAGAGAGTTTTGGATGAACTGTGGCAAGCCAGGAACACAGAAAATGATCTCTCCATGTGGATTAGGACGAAACATGAAGCATTGCATCTCTCTAGGGACTAAAACCATGGCCGCACCAAGCGGTAACCATTTGTCCCTGTTCTGGGAGTCAAAGTTCAATTATCTGGTCTGTTATGGTTGATAATCCACTCTGAGCGGAACAAAAGAGGGCGTGTTTTTTTTTACTTACTGCAGAGGCCTTTGTTGGAGATTAATGGCGCGTTTGACGCGGAGCCCGCTGAGTACGCATAACAAATTTGATTCAGAATGTATGGTCTTTGCGTACACGCAGAACACGTGCAAGAACCCACTTGGAAATCTTACTCCCAACTGTCTTTCTTTTGCCGCATGGGAGTGCACTTCAACTCGGGGCAGATAGAGCGAGATATCTATATGCAATACAGGGGTTTAGATAAAGTCTGTACTTCCCCCTTACAGAGACTGCTCCATGGGTGTTGTACTGTATTGCTTATGCAGTTTAAAGATACATTCATTGAAGTAAAAACTTTTCCAAACCTGTTCACAGCCAGTGTTTTAAGCTGCACTACTTGCATCAATATTCTTTTTAGAGATGAAAATCAGAACAGTTGTCAAAGATCGGATCCACGTGTACAATTTGATTTTTTTACATCAACCCCAGGGTGTTTTGGGCTAGTGGGGTTAAATACCAGGTTCTGCTTTTCACCGATGTTAGCCATCTATGCTCAGAGCATTGCAAGAACTAAGAATAGTAAGAATTGTAAGGATAGAATTCACGAGCTTACACAGGTGGGGCTTGAACTCACCACCTCCGAAATAGGAGTTGCAGTACAAATACCTGCTCACTCAGCCACCAAGATTTTGGACGCATCTGGCCAGTTCGATCCGATACGTAACCAGAATCCCAGAAGTAGTCTTCGGGCTATTTTTCAGTAATTTTGTCATGTTTGCATCAGAAAGAGCAACTGAGCTATTTGTTTTGATTTATCACTCAATTTGGCATCTTGATGAAAAATTGACATTATTTGGATGAAAAAATGTTGAGCTGATATAGAGGCTTTGCATGGAAGCCATCCTGTAGGGCACTTCTTTTGTTGCACATGGGAATCTCCTTTGGGCATATCCTGTAAAGAAAAAACACTGGCCTGCAGGATGGCAGCCATGCAAACCCTCTGTTGTTACATTTTTAAAAATGCCTTCAGCTCAGAAGTGGCTCTAGTAACTTGCGGCTCATCTTTTTGAAGTTGGGTCACACATGTACCAAGCAGGAGTTGCCATTGAGGATTGGTTTGGGTTCGAACTGGCTACCAGACCCCTCCAAGCTTGGTGGCTGAAGGGCAAGTCACCTGCACTGGAAAACAAGAGGTCATGCATTCAAGTCTCAGCATTGTGAAGTTTTTCTCCCACTCTTTGAAAAGTTCAGAGCATACAGGACTGATGATGGATCTCTCTAAATGCCAAACCCAGTATTACTATAATTTACATAATCCCTGAACAGGACATTTTTGCCACAAAATGAAAGTTTCTTTTGGAATGCAAGAGATCCTAATTGTAATGCGTAGGTTGCTGTGTTAACACCAAGACTTAGCTGTGTTATTTCTACATGTAATGAGAATTTGTAACATTTCAAAATCTTCCTTGTTTAATTTTTAAAGTATCTTTTATAGGGGAGGGTCGGGAAGACCTCAAGTCATTGATGCTTTAAAAGCTTATCACTGGTTATTAACAATGGCTTTCCATGCAGTGATATTCCCATGTACATCTGCAAGAAATCATATTGATAGAAGTACATGTAATGATATCTCCATTTACCGTCAACTGTTAATTTTTCCGTAACTTCTTTGCATGAAAAAAGGTTAATGGCCATATTATTTTAGGTAAGGCAAAGCATTTCCACAAATAATGTACTTCTATAAACCAAAGTAGAATGATGACATCAGTGAGTAAGAGTGAGTATGTCGTCGCGCACCGTCAGATGTTCAAAAGTAGCTGTTGAACATTGAAGGTTTTGCAGTTGTCAAAATCCTGAGAAGACTCCACTGTAGGCTTATGTACTGTTGATGATACACTGATTTACAGGAGTGCTTTCGTATGGGAACCAGTTGGAGACGATGGATTCAAAGCACCATAGGAAAGCATACTGTAAACAAAGCATTACGTCATCAGTGCATGGGCTTTTTATGTGACGGTGCCAGCAGTTGACAGTTTCAGGAGCTCTGCTTGTCTTTTGTGTGTAGATGTGTTTTGACTGCCTTATGCAACAGCAATGCAAAATGAGATGTATGAATTATTTAAGCACCTGTCCATCTGTTTGAAAAGTGACTGAAATGAAATTTTCTGCACTTGATTGTAACTATATAAATGCAATTAAAAATGTTGTGTCTGTGACAAATTTCACGAAAACTGAACCCGTTTCATTCTTTTTGAGCCGTCAAATTTATTGTGATCTTTGAAAAATAGATAATTTTTAACCATACAAGTAAACTTCCCAAGCTGTACAGTGTATCTTTTGAGAGATAGGGAAAGGGGGATCAAGTAGCTACCATGTAGTCAGCTTTCATTTCATATTTGGGGCTGAGATTGGGGGATGGAGAAAAGTCGTCCAGCATAGGGGCTGAAACAATGATAATAAAAACAGTGACTTCTATGGCTTTTAATAGTTAAAGCATGAGTTCTCTCTATCATGGCTATGATGATATCAATCTCTCTCTTTAGTGTTTTTACAAAAACAAATTTTGAGGGCAGCAAACTGATTAACCTCTGAAACTGGAATTTTTAGTATCAATCCTGACAATTTCTGAGAAATCGCATCACTGCAAGCTGAATATAACAAATGCTCACAGATCTTCAGTACCGTCGTCTTGTCCAAACAAGGCAGATACTTTTCAGTGCGCTCCAAGTCTTCGTGGTTCACAGAACTAGTGGAAGCATTCGCGTGTGCTACTTGTGTTGACTCCCGAGTGCAGAAATATGGTGCATGCACTTTACTATCAGATCAAGAATGTGCTCCAGTGAGAGTGTATTGTCCCCGGTCCGCGGGTTGCACTCTTGCCATTTGTGTGCTCAGAAGTACACTCGTGTGAACATGTGCAGCATGCTCAAACACGCCCACTTATTCTCATGAATAGATAACATAAATTTCAAAAACTAGTTTGAATCTTGCATCACAAATCCTGTACTGAGGCACTATTTAAGGTGCATGTGAATGAAAAGTAAGTACCAAACAATCACAGAGCTGGCAGGTACAGTGTGTTGAGTTTTCTCAAAGTAAGTACCATCATACAGTAGACATGAAGAATTAAACACAAATGGAGATCAATTGTGAGAAAAAGGGAAAACTGAATTACAAATAGAAATACAGTGATTTTAGGGGAAAACGCCTGCCTGATTAAAGCAGTGGTAGCCTGCTGTTTTCCTGAAACATTTAAACCATTGGGAAGTCACATGCATACCATATTGACACCAATCCAATGTTTAAAAGGCATTCTTCACTATAAACAAACTGTATACTTACTTTCTTGTGCATAAGTATTTTCTCGTCCATTTAACTAAGGGTATGAAAAGATCTGTGATATCATGGCTGGGACTTGAGTTTCTGTCAACTGATTGCTGATGTAACAAACACACTGCACATTAAACCAAGCCCGATGAACCAGAGCTCACAGCTAGTACATCACCTGTTTGCTGCCTCCAACACTGGCTCCTAGATAACCAATTCACCAGTGTAAGTGGGCCCAGAAAGAACACAAAACATCTTCCAATAGCACTGTTTTCTTTATCATAGCAGGAACTTTAAAACCTGCCTGGTGCTGCATATCTACATGAGACCGATATCTTTCAGTAATGAGCAACCCTCTCATGACACTGAGGCCCATGCCAGATTTCCTGAACTTCGTGATGCCTCATCTGCCATCAAGGGTCAACTTTTTTCTCCCATGAAGGTGCTGTAACTCCCTCGGGCTCCCTCTATTAGCTGTCTGCTCCGGTGACCAGCAAGTGCACGTCTTTGTCCGAGGACAGCATGTGTCTGCAACGAGTGGACCCGACAACTGCGGCCAGTCTCTGGGCGTCGTAGTGTGTGTACAGGATGCTGCAGTTGTGCTCGGCAGCACCTTGCAGAAGTTGCAGCATGTTGCACAGCTCGCTGTAGAACTGAGGATGGCTTGGAAGCTGATAGAAGATGATATTGTGGATTTTTTTTATCTTGAGCCTGCAACAACAAAAAATGTGAAAAACCAAATTAGAATCTATGCTGTTCACACCGTAAAATCACACTTCCTAACAAATATATTCTGACAGAGATGTCATTGCTGTGATCTAGTCAATTACAGGTCAATTCACAATTAAAATGGGATTAAAAGAAAGAACTGTAAAAGGAACACCTTTGTCACAGTTTAATTCGAATAGCTCACGGACTTGATTCACGACAAGGTCGCTTAGAAAGACTTGTTTAAAATTGCAAAATTCACACTGTGACGAGCCCACGGCACCCAACTGCACATAGCAAGCTTCATCTATGCCTGCTTGATTCACTGATCTGCATCATAAACTAACTGTGTTGAAGAGAACAGTGCAAATTTAAAGTCATGTGTGGTTCTTAAGCTTTCTATATCAGACATACATGGTAAAACTTTTCTGAATCAGTCAGAGGATTTAGTACTAGTGCATTTCTCCAGTTTGTAATTTCCCTCCCTCTATTCTGAACATTCAATATGATAATTTTTAAGCCTTTTTGGAGAATCACACCTTCTGAAGTAATAGAAACGTTCTGTGAACAGTAGCAGATGCCTGGATCTGTTGGCAATGTAGAGTCTGGCTCGAGAGATGTTGGGCTGACTGGTGTACCTACGCAAAAATAACCACAACAATAAAAACAGTGTAATTTGCTTTGGAAACTTAGGACAGCGACATGATTGCCCACTCAATATGACAAACTGCAAGGCCAGAAATACTATCCAAAAAATTACATTCCTTTTCTTTCTGATATTAAAAGGAAACAAAAAACAAAAAAAATTGAAATTCTGAACAAGTTTTTCAGTTGGACATTCTACACTTTGATTGAATAATTAAAGAATTTTATAATTAGTGTTACCACTTCAAATCATTATCCACAATCCACATAAGCATGCCATTCAGCTAATATTGTAGATTTTCAAAATGATATCTGTAAGTTGAAACCTAGCCTGTAAGTTTCACTTACTCGCATATCTGTGCAAAATGAATTTCCTCCTTGCGGAAGTGGTTACGAAGTCGAACAAAGTCAAAGTAGCTGGGGATATAGATCAGTGTACCCACCATCGTAGGATCCTGGTACCGAGGCAAGATCTGTGTGTCCAAAGAAAAAAAATGAGCTTCACTGTGTGCCAACTTGTCCAGGAAAAATGTCTAGGTTGGTTCCTTATTGAAACCCTGCCAAAAACTCACTTCATACTTGATTCAAAATGTGAAGTGAAAACTGGATGTCAACTTGTGCTAAGAGCAAACATGGCTACAATGCACTGAAGGTACGCTATGTTTCACATTATCAAGGCAGGTTTTAGTCTTTGATTTACTTGTCATTTACATTTGTATGGAACTTGAAACACACTCATGCGACAAGCTGACACCAAAATGCAATTACACATCTCCAAACCCACTCCACAAATTTATATCAATCAATATTTAGAATGGATTTTTCAGCACGACAAAAAGATGCCGGAGGAAATTTCACAAGAAATTCAAACTTTGGATCTCTTTTGAAAGACAGAGTACGCTCTCGTGGAAATGGGACACAGCTGAGATCACCATACAGCATCCCAAACAAGAACGTAGAAAACCCAGGCAGGGTTGCGACAAACAGCGCCGAGTGCCATTTTATAACACTTTCACAGACATCACACCTATTTCTACTCGTCATCTCCAAAATTTCTCTCTCACATATCTACTCACCTTCGACACAAAGAAGTCAAATCTCTTGTCTGGCTCCTCCATAAAACTCTGGCACTCTATCCGATGGAACACCTGCAATATTCAAGTCTACTTCAATACCACCCAGGAACTATGTATATCTTTTCAAAATATGGCACCATTGTCTATCAAACCTAGCTGAACCTGTTTAACCACACGCTGCCGGGTGCTTTTAAAAATGCAGTGCCCACATATGGGCGATTTTCAAGATTTTTAATTTTCAAAACTCTTTAAAAATTCATCATTTCATTTAATGGATGTTTACAGCCACACGAATGACTGTTTGGTGGCTACTCTAAGCTGACAGGTAACCTTTCTTAATATCAGCCAGGCCTGCCGCTCTGTAAAGAGAGCCCAGAAATGTGAGGCGTTGCGTAATTTCCTTTATCTCCACTGAATGCGAGTGGCATCTTTTCAAACATGACTGGATTAGCAAGCAGGGGTGCTGTGTCGCTCATCAATGGGGCCCTGGAGCACTTTTGTCCGTGATGCTAATCCGTGATCGTGCTATGCCCCAAACAGTGGTATACTGTTTAAAAACAGTGAAGGATTACCTTTGAAAAATGCAAGCCGAAAAATGATAATTCCCAGCAGCAGGTCTTTTGTTCCGGGTATGATATTTTATTACACAGGCCAGCTCTTTCATCCCATTTTGGGCACCCTAACTTTGCGTATAAACCTATGGCACTCGAAACGGGGTTCCCCAGCAGCAAGTGGTTAACACAAACCAAGGAAAAATTCTTAACTCTCAGTACTTTCAGTACTTAATTTGTATTCATAAATACCTGGGACAGTTTTTCTATTCCTTTTGGCCAAAACACGTCCCATGACCCATGTATTAACATTTGATAATGCCCGCTGCAATTTGGTAATGCCCCCTGCATAAAGCACATTCTGGTGCCTGGGTACGAGACAGTTTAAATGATTCCGATTGGTCAAGAGTCTGTGTGCAAGCAACAGGCGGAACTCGCCACGTGCGCTCCAAGTCCATATAAGGAGATTCTTTTTTATTACTTGCTCAATGAATATCCCATCAAATGGAAGGGGGTTTTGGGAAAAATGAAAATACAATTTTTGAACAAAACCCTTGGAAATTTATCAAATATTGATTTCCTTGACTCTCTGACTAAAATAGTATTTATGAATGGGAATAAATATGTGCTCGGCTGGTCTTGGAGAATGAACGCTGATAATGCCCAGCAGCTTGGGCATTAATCGTGTATTCTCCTAAATGTGCGCTTAAGACCAGCCAAGCACATAGTTACATGTATTCCCTTAATAACACACTGTCAAGTAAGACGTGGTTTCATCAACAACAAAAAAAGGAAATTCAGAATTCAAACTACATGAATGTATGCACATATCAGGTGTGAAATTTTTCACCCTAGGATAAAATATTCACTGTAGGTCATAAATGCATGCCACGTTCCAATGCACTTTAGTTACCACTGCTTTTACACATCTTCATCCATCAGCTGTCGTCATTCAGATGTGTAAAATGTCAAGTCTCGATGCACGCATGTGAGATTGAAATTTGGAACCAGGTTTCAAATTACCGTAACCTAGAAAGAGACAATAATTCTGAATTACCAACCTGCGGCAGCTGTGTAATTACTTGGCAAATGGAGCCTGTTACTGGAGGGTTGTACACCACGGCCTTGCCGGCCAAATCTAAACAGACATACTAAGGATAATATCTTTAAGAAATGAGGCTGTTTGTGGTTAGGCTTAATCTTAGAGTTCATGTTGATTTATTTGAAAAGAAAAAAATGTAACATTTTGTAAAGCTTCAAGCATTACAAAGTATAGCTTTGGCAAAAAAAAATTTGAGAAAGAAACATTATTAACATATCTAAAAAAAGAAAGTGATATATCCTGTGTTTTGTGTGGTCGTACGTTTTATGCTATGATGCATTAACTTTAAGGCCTTGTAGTTAGCAGAAAAACGACGCTAACCAAAGTCAAATTTCACAGCCTAAATGTGCCAAACTTAAGCTTTCTTTTCCAAAAACCCTCACAATTCCTCCAGAATCCCTTCATCATGTGAGAACCAATTAATGTCAAGGAATGTGGTTAAGAAGCTGACCCAACTCAAGCAAGTACACTGAAAGGATATTAGCACAATGCTTGTTGAATAGTGAATTGATCTCTGGAGTGGTTATACAGCTGAAGATCAGCGTCTGTCGGTAGTACTTACTCCTTCAGAAAAAAAAAGTGCCATATTTGAAGTTATACCATTTACATAAAAGGGTCATGCTATCTTTTCAATACCATATATCAGTTTCAAAGAGAGAAAACTCGCCAGTCATAATTCATGAAATTTCCAATTTTTCCGAGTCTGTAGAGTGAAGCAAGAGACCCCTGACAAGTAACTATCTGTGATTTAAATGTCAACCAGGAACATGTCACTGTCAAATGACAATTAATGAATAAACATTTACTACCCACTCTCCATCCACGGATATTACTTTGTACTTATATGCACATTTACTTGTATGTAGTGAAGTCTTTCTACATATTTTTACTACATACTGCAAAACTTTGAATCATTTTTTTGTTTTAAATAACCATCCTGTTATTGGTGTTTATCAATGTTGAATGTAGTAATAAATGAAACAAAACTACTGAGCATCCTGTGACCACTCATCATCCACTCACCACTCAAAACCAACTAACCACTCACCATCCATTCAGCGTCCACTCTCTGAGTCTTGAGAAATCTACGCCGTGAGAATCTCTGGGCTGCAGATGCATGTACTCCATCAGATGCTGTAAAGTTCCACAAAAATGCAACTAGATTAAAGTTGGTGCACATTTCACCTCAGGGTAAAAGGCTACACAATTCTCAGCAACTGCTTGCAGTTACTGGAGTTACCGGCCAAACTCACAAACAAAAACCCAGCGAAAGACTGATGGGGGTGTATCTTAACTCAGAGTCTGCCTGGTGCAAGATCATGAAACAGCTGTTTAAGCCTGAGTCAGTGGCAGCAGAGTAATTGCCATTTCCGCAATAATGAGCGTGAGCAGTAACATGGACCCGGTGAGGATTTGCAATCTAGGGCCCTGTGTGGCTATTTGGCCTTGGGATGGTTGGTTTGTTGGAAAATGCTACATTTAGAAGGCATCTCATCTTGACAACCCTTGTATGTTGTCGCCTGAAGCAGGGTTTCTAGTCAAAATAAACCGGAGGGCTGCGGTTTAAGTTTGAGACATACCATGATATGCTCCCAGTTCTGCATGAGAAACACATCAGTCTGATCCATGATGAGTAATTCAATGGAGGACAAGAAGTCATAGTCTTGATGTTTCTCCCTGTAAACAGGCACAAAGTGAGATCTTAATTGTGACTAAAAGAAAACTGGATAGTTTCTTGTTGTTACAATCTGTCTTTAATATCTTCAGTCGTGAGAACATACATTTTGTAATGACATCAACTTTTAAACAATTATCTGCTTTTGCCACTTTTCAGACACTTTGAGGCAAATTTTCTGATGTAGGATCTATAACACTTACTGATTGTGAGGCACTGATTCCATTACAGGCAATGGAACATTGGTCGATATTACGCAACCACCTTACTTGGAACAACCATGACTTTTTTGACTGGAACAAAAAATGCCCTGCAGGACAGTCACATCTGACTTTCTATCATTTGAAGAAACTTAAAAGCTGACAGTTGAAATGACGCTCTCACCTGACAGTGAGCACGCAATTGCCAATGAATTATGAGTCAACCCACTGGATTCAGTTTAGAACTAATAGATACTATCACATGTATGTAAACCTGCATAGAAAACCCCCCACTACAGTTTTCTTCATTCTTCTCGATAGTGCAGCATTTTCACAGATAAACTTTTTGTAACTACCAAAGAGTGAGCCACTGGATTCCCCTATATGGGATGACTCTAAAGGATTCCAGGCAGAACAAAACCGTCAAGCGGGTGAGCGCTAACATCTAAAGAATCCTGTTGCTAGGGTGAGAATAACTGGGATCCCTATGGTTACAGGTATGTAGCTTTGTGAATCAGCAAACCCATTCAGCCATCAGCTTGATAGAACCTTACCCCTTGGTTCCGATGAGGGTTCTCAGGCCTAGCGGTGATGCAATAATGATGTCGGACATGTAGAAGTTTGTGTACAGCTGGAGTCGTTTACGAGTGATTGCCAGACCTATCCTGAAGTGATCGTCGGTGTTGCCAGCAAAGGTGGACTCCCAGTCCTCTATTCAGTGGTAATGGGCAAAAATAACCAACAGTTAATGAGAAACAAAGTCATAAATTGAGAACAAAATTAATAAAACAAGAGTTGCAAACTTCATTGAATTTTTAACACTTTCCCTCTAACTTCTGATGAGAAATGATTTCATGTATTTTTTTCAAGACTCTCCTGACAGCACTCAAACAGCTTCTGGAAAAGACTCGAAGCTTCAGTAGTGAAGAATTTAAGAATGAAACATTCAAGGCCATTTTGTTTTGTAACACAGGCATGATTTATCACTATTCTTATATTCTTTGGGATGTTTTAACCAACCTTTAATTTTTTGAAATAATTTTGAAAGTACTACTGTTGATGGGCAGCTGTTATCACAAAGCTGAAAAAAATGGTTATAATTCTGCTAAGCGTGGAAGGCAAAAGCATTGAAATGTTGCTTACCTGGCATTGGGTGCTTACTCGGTGGGCGTTCCTCTGCCTCTCCATACTCATCACTGAAGCGTTTCCTCCGACCTAAGTTCTGACTGTCTGCTGCCAGCAACAGCTTGATGAAGGTATTAACAATACGGAGGGCGGCATTGCGGAATGGGACTACAACCAGGATGCGTGGCCTAGTGAGGCCTTGATCTCTCATTGTCCTGAAACAGAAATTATTAACATTTGATTTGAACGGTCAAAGACAGTTCAATGTTTAATTGCAACACAAAGACACACATTACTTGACTAATTTTGACCAAAAGGACACCTTTGACCAGAGAGAATGTTCCCATCAAAGGAGGAAGAAATGTTAGCTTGACCATAGAATCACACAATACTAAACTCTGGACCACTTTGTTGACGCTCTCCTCTGAAAATTAAGATAACCAGCCCAACGCTGCCAATCTCCAAAACTGTACACGTCTTTGTTCTCTAAATACTAGTCAGAAGCCAGGCACCTTTTAAGTTCCACATCGGAAGGAATTGTGCTGTAAACCTCGGAAATGGCAATCAGGATCACTCAGATAGAATACAGTGATTTTTCAGCATTCACCAGCTTATCAAAACTTGGGAAATCAAGTATATTTATTTTTAATCTGCCTTGTGTTCAACCAAAAAATTGACTGGTGTGAAACCCACGACCTCTGGAATACCCCCTCACTGCAATAACTTGATCAAAGTGAAAAACAGAGGAGAATGCAGGGAACTTTCTGTAATTAATAACTGGAACTAATCATAGATACAGACTTACTCAGTATCCAGAGTATTATCCTTGGACAGCATGGTGTTGTGTTTTAACACAATCTCTCTTGACCTACGTAAATAAAGGAAAACATGTATAATTTCAGAGAAATCCACTGCAAGGAAATTGTGCTTACGAGAAAGCACAATGGCAATATAAATGTTTCCAGATGATTTAACTACCGCGTGTTAACGCAGGAAGAGGGTTACTCAACCAACTGACTAGGCATTACCTGCAAGGCCCATAACTGTAGTAATATGGTTTATTTCTGACCCTAACCCTATCCCAGAAATCAACTCTCATTTTTGCCCAATCAGGATACATCATAAATTAGAATCAGTCACTTTTCCTTACTTGACTATGTGGTTGAGTAAGTGCAGGCAGTACACGTTACATATCTCCTCAGCGTTCTTGTGTGTTCTCTCTGTGTACAGCAAGTCCTGAGAAGAGATGTTGCAATTGAATCATGCAGAATATTTTATTGTATGAAGGCTCTACCAGCATTCTGTCACACTTCTGCCTTATCGTTACACACTTTAAACAACTTGTAAAATTTTCAACAACGTACATTGTACACTCTATCCAGACAGACCCTTTTCCAAGACTTTGACTGAAAAATTATAAGAATGACTGGGTACTCCATGAAGTGTCCAGAAGAAAATTGATTCAATTCCTGCCAGATTACCTGGTAAGAGTTCATGATTGTGAAGAGCTCCAGTTGCAGTGGAGAGAACAGGTCCTGAGACCCTGACGGGACAAACTGTTTATTGTTGACTTCCCATTGGCCAGATATCCTCTTCTTGATCTGAACATGAGCCAGAGTGTGGAACATCTTAAGCATGAGCCAAGACAATTGTGGAACACAAAAGATAAATTGTTATGAAAGCAGAAAGTATATCTTTGAAAATTTCTGCACTGAGTAGCTGTCTGCAGAGAACCCGTCATTAGCAATACACACGGCAGAATAATTTGGTTGGTGCGTTGGTTTTTCCAAATCAATTTTATTTGTGCCCAGTGATTTGTGTGCTCTGTAAAAGTGACTTCAGGCAAACACACGTATATGGCATTATACCGTCAAAGATCTTTGACATAAACAGAAGTTTCTGCGTGCGAAAATTAATCTGTTCATTGGTGGTCCGTTGCAATGTAACCACTAACTCAGGAATTCAGCACAAGACAATGTGGTATAAATTAAAGACTTACATTCAATTCTTTGAATGTCACATGATCTGGGATCTTGAGGCTGACTGGCTTTTTGGCAGACGTGGAAGAAAAGACAAGTCTGCCTAAGGTGTTCCACTAGATTTAAAAAACAAACAAACCAAATTCCAGCTTTTCATATTACATTTCATACTTTTAACACAGAAATTTCAAGACAGCATGTCATATGCAAACTTTGTAATTCAAGCAACATACATGGTGGAGTCCATGCCCCAGGAACCCTTACAAACATCAAGACAAAGACGTTATCCATGAAGACTTCCACACACAAAGATTTTACTTGGCCACCTGATGCTTATCCCATGTGCCTGGTGACTAACTGAAGACTTGAAGTGCCCATGCAAATGTTTCAGTCACCAGACATAGGGCAGGTCAACAATGCAGCCTGTCTTTCTGATGAAGTCCATAAAAGACAGAACATTACACAAATTTGCAATTCCCTGCATAACTGCTAAATTTGGATGACCACTTTTGTGACTATCCATGAAAAATATCATACCGATGCATGTAAGCTCTGAACTTTACCTTTGTCTGTAGTTTGTGTATCACCTCTCCCTTGGCCAACTGACTAGCAACACCTTCCCCGATGTCCTGTACTACCCTCCTATAAAAGGGATCTACAAAATTAACATGAAAGTTGTACTTGGCTCTACTTAGCTAAAAGTGTAAAATCTCCAATCAGAGCACATGTTCTTTATGATGTTTCAATGTCTAAGACTGATGAACATGAGTGCTTTTGTTGAAACACATGCATCTTTATAAATATCTACCAGCTTGGACCCCTATTCCTCTCCTTTTTTTCATACTTCAACTTTTTTGGAAAATCTCTCGTGTTTTACACATGATTGTCAACTGTGGACGTCTAGTCAAATGTGGGCCCAAGTGTGGTTTCTATCATTCATAGTCCACAATTTGAATATCTTAAATGTACATGTACAGTGCTAACTAGGAAAGTATAAATCATGCTGAATCCATCAAGATTCTTCATAGTTTCAATGGTCAGAGTAGGGTTGGGATAAGGCAACCCCTAAGCTCTTCTGCTAAGAAAGTTACACCGGTTAGGTTATACTTTCTTTAATTAATAATTAGTCTTCAAAACGTCCTCGTGCATTATGAAGGAATGAGGTGGTTATAGGTTAAAGAAATTACACGACATTGTCTCATTTCTCACTGTGTGGTTCTGAGGATTCCTGAGTTTAACCTTGTATTTTCCCAAGAAGTGCTGCATCGTTCTATTCACTGCAATATCTAAAGAATTTTAATTTGGGTCCTTCCAATGAGTAGGATCCAAACTGTGTCTTCATTATGACAAGCGGCAGATTTGGTCCTACCTCTCAACTGAGTCTTTGCATCATCTTCCTCTGCTGTGCCTTCATCGCTCCCTTCATTACTAGCAGTTTCATCTTCGTCATCATCTTCATCATCTTGAAGTTCCACTTTATCTTCGTCCTCTACAGATTGGCTCAAGTCTGCCACATCTGTATCGGCAGATTTTTCAGGAAATACGTCTGCAAATTAAAAGATGATTCTCTAAACCTTTTGTATTTAGAAACATTTTTTTCTGAATAAGCAAAAAAACAGGACTGCAATGCTAACTACATTAACTGTAAGAACAATTGAAACCACGATAAAGCTCACAAAATACAAGGACAGCAAAACGGACGGATACATTTGACACTGATCCAACAAATATTTCACAAATGTTGAAAGGGGCCTTGTGTCTCCAGCAATCTCTTACCTCCAACTTCATTCTCTGCTTCCTCATTTCCTTCATCCTCTTCCTCCTCCTCATCGTCGTCACTTCCTTCATCGTCTTCTTCGTCATCTTCATCATCTGTGCAAGGAGCATACAGATAGTCAGTAGCCAACTGCCCAAACTGCCAAATCAGTTCTCTCAATGCAGCTAATGGATGTAGATAAATTCGGCCAGTGAAAATAATTTGGGAACACTTTGATAAGATAAAAGAAAAAATATTTTAATTCCAATACTAAGAATGTTACCAAGAATTAGTGGACTTAACAGACTGTCCCCTATCGTCACAAGAATGCACAAAGAAAGTTTAATTTCAAACTGACTGCACTCATGTCAAACCAGTTACAGAAGAATAGAAGTCCAGACAATAAAGTCGCTGAAAAGTCAGTCGCACATCAGGTTACAAGTATCTCAGGATGAACAGTGACAAAGATACATCAATGTCACTATCCATGGAGTTAAGTGACAGTGAGAAACTGACAACACTGGTCTGGCATGTGCTTGAGACTGACTAAATGACCTTGGGATTAATACATATATTTATTATTGTGGGTGGAGCCAGATGTCTCAGTGGCCGATGTGGCATACTTGGTTTGCAGTATAGGTCACAAGGTAAAAAGATTTTAACAACCATAGCAACCAAGGCTTCACTGATAGTTTGACCAGTATTTTAGCCAACTCCTTTCTGAGCCCCCAAGTGATTGAAGTGTTAGATCAGGGAGTAAAAGTAAGGCTGAAGTAACAAGACAATGTCAGCTGAGTTACATTATGGGTGCGCAAGATTCATTTCATGGATTGTGAAAGTACCTGAGTACTGTTCCTCGGTCGTTGTGCCTAGGGTTGTCAGAAGTTGCTCATAGGCAGACGGCTCTTGCTCAACACTACTGTCTGAACTGTAGTCCTCCTGGCATTCAACAAGTTGACAAAAGTAGAGCTTTTGAGGTAGCTTTATAAGTTCCTAAGTTCAAAGACTTCACATTTAATAAAGCGTTTTCCTACCTTTTGCATAAGTACAGGCCATTGTTTAACATAGAATGTGTGTAAAGTGTGCAGTCCAAAAACCTAAATAAAAACATTAGACAGACACATGAAATTCGTGAACATTTTACACAATTTGTTTCTTCATTCATTAGTGAAGTCGGCCTTTGTTTTGCATGCTTTTCTGCACTTGAAGTCTCAATCTAGAAATGATGCACAGTACAGTTCAATACAGTAGGCATGCAATCTCCAATCCAAAATGTTTAGTCCGATTGGGAAGAATTCCACATTGGACATCAAAGTTTTTAGTTTCAAAAACACCACCAACACTCAAAAACTGTGGAATTCTGTCTGTCTGATCTTTGTGAATTGTCTTCTGTCTGGTCAACCAAGAGCACTACGAATGTAAATGAGTCAGTCACACAGTTTCAGAAGACAGGCATCAAGTAAGATGAGCAATGACAAAGGAATGCTTTCACCACAGTTTGTTCAACGCCCCGTTGACTTGTGACTTTTTAAATTCCTGGCAAATGCCTCTGACTTATGTCTTTGTTGCGATGTCTTATAAATGTAAGCTATTTGTTTGTTTGTTGATGCGAAATAAATAATAACAATAACATGAGATGGGATTGTAGGGACTTGTGATCTTTTGAAGATCAAGCTCTTGTGTTAAAATGTTCCAAGTGGAAAATGTTAAAAAAAAGTTTGGGTTAAACATGCATCTAAAGCCCTAAAATGATGTGAGAAGGCCTTTGTAGGGTACCTCTGTAATGCCTGGAGTTTGGTTTGCAGATCCTGACTGTAATCCCAGCTGTGCCCTGTAAACAAACAGAACCAACAGATGTGAAAATGGCAGGCAACCATCCAGATCATTAGGACTGAAATTGACACAAATGCAGAATAACCCGTCGCATCCCGTAATGTGCTAAACACAGCATTCTTGTGTGTTACCCTTTTTTCAATATTGGCATGATGACTCATCCCCTCCAAAGTAGCTTTTTGTCTGTGTGTGAATGTGGTTTTGTTTCGAACAATATGTATTTATCAAGGCCCTTCAGAAATGCAGTTAAATTACTTATAAGGATAGCCATGTCAAAATAGACTAAAAATAAATAAGTAACTTCCTTACGAACAAATCCTCATATCAGCATTGTCTGGCCGACCAGGTCCAAATGTTTTACCCTCCTTTTGTTGTAACAGTCACAAACGGTCAAAAATTCCTTCCACTTGATTTGCCCCATAACATAGGGGTCATTGGACTGATTTTGACTGATACGACAACTTTGTCAAGAATACATCTTTGCATAGGAGGGTTGAACTTGCGATTCATAGAGTCCTAGTTAGACTAGCATCAATACAGCCACCCTGGAAGACTGCATTGGAATACTTTTTCTTACCTTCCCCTTTAAGTTTGCTTTATTGCATTATACTTCAAGTTTGTCATGGTTGTGTTGACTGCATCGATTTTGCATTTAACCATATTCGACTCCATAGAAAGAGATTTTCAAGGGGTGGGCCCACATTTCGCGTGGTATTCTGCAACGACTCCCTGAATTTACTTCCATAACAATGAAAAATTATGTCTGGTTCCTTTCAACCATCTCAACCTCATACATGTAATAATTGTGGTCACCAGCATTAGTCTAGGGTCCCCCTGAGTTCAAAGGAAAGAATTCCATGTAGTACATGGACGCCACTTAACAACCTGTGCACAAGTAGAAGGCCTATGCATGGTAATGAGTTGATCTGAAAAATAAAAATCTGATATTTTAACTGCTAAAAATGTTAAAATTACTTTTTAGGACATCTTGTTGCTTTCAGTTGGTTCATACTCAATAGGTCACTGCAGGGAAAGATCAGGGGCGTCCACATGGAATTAATTACATCATGTAGGCCTAAGCCTGAATCTGAATAATAGGCCTGGTCGGCAAAGCCTCCATCAGGAAACATCACACCAACATGAGCGTGAGGTTTAGTTTGGGGCGTGGACGGGCCTCACTGTAGCCCAAGTTGCTTCTCCTTGTCTCCTCTCTACAGGTTTCTTCAGGCTTACGAGCTACAGTGTCTAGGGCGCTTTTGAGAAATCCTCGGTGTCATTTCCAGACATGATTAATTATATGTGTCAATAAATTAGCAATGTCGGAAAAAGATGGCTTACCTATGATTCTCTGAAATCGCTCCGGTTTGTACTTTTTTCTTTCTTTCATTCACTTTCCGACTGATTGCTAGAAGGTCAATTTTTCTCCTCTTTCTCCTTCTCCCCTTTCCGTGTTTACGGCGCTTACTTCCCCGCATTTCTGTTCACTTTACAGCATACTGTGCTAAAGGTTAGTCTAAGAAAATGATGTTTTTATGAAGAACATGTAGGGCCTACCAAGAATTGCACGTGTTGACTGGCGATAGCTCAGTACTACCGATGCATATATCGCATGGAGTTCTAAATTCTACACGCTTTGTACACTATTGATGTTTTGAACAGGATACAAGACTAGGTACCAGTCTAGCAATATTTACTACGCGTACACGTACCGTACATGTAAAGGGTGCAGACCACTAATTCAAGTGAGAATTTTTGACCAGCTCATTAGCATTAAAAGTGCCCCCCGCAGTATCTTTTGAAAAAGCAGATTGTTTGGCCCCCAAAATGGTGAGATTGTGTAAATCGTTGCCAGGATCAACTCCCTGGGTCTTTGAGCTTTCATATGAGAGCAGAATGGCTAACAACTAGGGTTGAAAAATGGTCCTAAGTGCCCCCGAAAGTTGAGGGTTGCCACTTGAAAAACGGCTCCAATCAGACTTCGGAAAAATC